CACACACTGAAAAGTAAACATGCAACCACGAGTGCCGCAGGAATTATAGTTCGGTTCCTAAGAGTTACGCCAAGTGAAGAAACCAGAAAGAATGACATATTAAAAAACTAATTTTTGTGTCCGAGACACATTGGAAAGGCAATATACAAAGTTGGAAAAACATTTGCGTCAATATAACCAGGGATTATTAACATTCTTAACGTAACTGCTTTTGCTAAACAATGAAGAAATGAGCGAGGAAGAGGTGGAGTCACGCACACACAACTGGCCAACGGAAGCGCAGACGGTCAGCCTCACGGGCAGCACAGCAGAGCTCACACCCACCCTATTGAAGCCCAGACACTAAAAAGGTGTATTTTCTTACTGATTTTTACATAAATGGAGGGAGATAGAAACATTGACCAGCTGCCTCAGGACTGAAAGCTGGGCATATGGCCTGACGGGGATCAAACCAGTGATTCTTGGTGCATGAGTCCACACTCAACCACTGAACTACACCGGCCAGGCAGGCTGAAGGGTTCAATATGATACCTCTTCTGAGAAAAACAGTTACCTCACTGGTGAGATGGCTCATTTAGAAAATCCCTCCCTAGATGGTGACTTAGCAACAGGAACGAAAAGCCTGACATGGTACAGGCATTTCACAGGAGGAATGCATTCACGTCACCCAAGGACATAGGTACATGGAATGTATCAAGTCTGAGCTGCAGGGAAGGTCATCACAGCACAGCTCCCTGAGAGGAAAAACTGAAAGACGCTAGGCGTGTCCTCCACAGGCGGTGTTTACACTGACAGCCACACAACGGAGCCTCTGCTACAAAAGATGCTTCAAAATCACCAAAGCAGCCCACTCGTTACATGGCAAAGGCGGCAGCACAGAGCTTACGGCACCCCTCTCTGCAGGAAATGCCATACGCTAGTGTAGGAAAAACTAGAAGCAAATAGGCCAATTGTTAACGGAAGATTACTGCTTTTCAATCTTCTTACTTGTAAGCCTTACAATAAACTATTTTTACGCACGAGGACTGAATTGAGTTACTTAAAAGAAAGTGAAGGCGGTGGAGTGGAGGCCCGTAGGCAGAGGGGACAGGGAAGGGGGGTGGAGCAGGCGCCCTCCCCCAGGTCCAGGGCACACTCAAGGGGCACCAACTTCCCGTTTCTTCTGTTGCTGCCCTCCTCGTGCCTTTCAAGGCCGCAGATTATTCTTGTGCATGAAGTATAAACACTCAAAACACACCGCACCGTCTCAAAGCCAGGGCCAGCACTTCCTCCAGGGACAGGTGCAGAGGATCGCCGCAGCATGAAGTCCCTTAATGGCGTCAGAAAAAGCAAGGCCGCCCAGGGTGGGTGGGACAGTGATGACCAACGTCTTTCCTGTAACACGTACCTGTGGTTTAGTGTCCAACCTGGGCACGGAGGAGCCTCAGCCACCTAACAATTTTCCTTGTTAGAACTTCCAAGTTCAGCTTTGCTGTGCTGAGGCCCATTACTCCTGTTTTGTACCAGATCACCATTTTCTCCTACCCATGCCCCTGGGCGCTCAGAGGCAAGGCTGGAAAGGCTGGAATCAGACTCAGGCCGCAACACTGTCCACACCTGTCCCCCCGAGCCGAGGGGAACCGAGGGCAGAACACGCAGGAAGCTCCAGTCCAAACCCCCTGGTTGGGGGGAGGCCAGAGGACATCAGCACCGCCTTCAGCCTCCCCCACGGCCAAACATTTATACCCGATGGAGACATCAGCCCGGCAGTTGCTAAGTAACAGCACTATTTACAGAGGTATTTATAGCAGTTGCCCTTTAAGGCTGGAACCAAGTTTTGTAATCATCCTCTAAAAATACCAGAGGACAAACGCGTTCTGGAAAGAGGGCAAAGCAGGTGGAGGAGGGCTGGGGGAAAGGGAAACAAAGGGGGAGGGGAAAGGAGGCCGAGATGGTCCTGGGGAACAGGAACGGGCGGTGAGCGGGGAAAGGACCCCCTTGAACCTGCCCACTATGGGGTAACTCCTGACAGAGCAGAGCCCTGGATAGTGGGCACAGTGGCACACATGGGGTAGTGGGGTGGGGGTCACAAGGACAGAGGCGGCAGGCAAAGGAGACACTGAGCCCCCCGGGGACAGCCACCAGTCCCATTGCTGCTCTCGGGAATCCCACCTGTTTTGGTCACAGCATGGCAGTACAAGGAATTCGCTCCCACCCCGGATCCATACTCAGCTTCTAAGCACACCTTGTAGTCAGCTGTTCAGTAACAGCACTTACACAACTAAGCCCAAACTCAAGAGAAAAAAATTAACCCAAGCCAAACTCTTTAGTAAGATGAGAACCATGTATGGGCTTAGATCCAAATCCCAGATGCCATCCAGTCTCCCAAAGACCCAAATATGGAAAACTTAGTACATGCCCATTCTATTCTTAGATGTTTCCCGTAAGCAAATGGAAATAGGTCCTCTTGCTGACCACAGCAATTGGAAATGTAACCAGGTAAAATCCCAGGGTATTACAAAGTACTCCCCCAGACATGACCCTGACCTTCACTGAGTGGTTGGCACATTTTTCAAAACCATTCCATTCCACACTCCCAAGTGAGCAGAGCCCCGCCCCGCCCCCCAGGCTGCAGGCCCACCATCAGGACAGTTCTATTGAGGTTACCATACTCTATCGCATGACCTCAATTACTCGGAGCTGTTGAAAAGTTAATTTTAGCCTATATGAAGATACAGTCAAGGTAATTGTGAAGGCAACTTGGTTTACAGAAAAGATCAAGGTAAAAAAAAAATAGCAGTACAACGATTCTAATGAGTTTAGAGCTCAAACCTTTATTTGTGCTGAAATGGGGAAGAAAAAACTATTAGTCACATACATGAGGCAACAGTACCAGGTCTTACCCAACTTATTCCCCATACATGCATAATACTCTAAATGCCAAGGACAGTCAGTAACTGTGTCATGCCCAAGTCTCTGGTTAAGAACGCAGCTATCATGCCAACATATTTTTTAACATTTTTTAAACCCAGAAGACATAGAATCCCAAAGGCAGAAGCACTGGGATTTAAAGTATCTAAGGTGAAATTTAAGGGGAAAAGACATAACAAAAGCCACCAGCATACTTTGCCAGCAGATGCACCTCAAACACGTGATGTGCCACACCTAGCGAGGCCTGCCGCCTCGTTTTTGTTCTTGCTCCCCAGACTGGTTTTGGCCGAGTTTCCCCAGTAGTGCTGGATCATTTAAAAAGCACAAACTTTCAAACTAAGGATATGATCGATTACCTAACCTTGGCACATGAATTGTTACCAAAAACCACAGTAATTTTACAGTGTCCACAAAAGGTTATTTGGTTCCCATTACAATGTAAAGATAACAGTAAGCAAAAATGGTTAATACCGACTACAAAAGAAAAGCGAGTTGTTTATAAGATACAATGTTAACACACAAAATTCCTTTAGAAATCATTTTTCACTTTGCTCAGGATTTCCTATCAGAAAAGCCCAGAGGAGTAACCCCAAAAGCGTGTATCTAATCTCAAGTGTACAACAAAATCTCAATAATTTTTTTCAAATTTAAACAATTTAAAAGCCCACAATTTGGGCACGGAAAGTCTTTTCTCAGACTCGCCCTCAGTTTCAGAGAAACCTGCTGCACGGTTCTGACACCCGTCTTTCAAGTGACTGACGGGCCTTGGGCCTTGCTCACCTCGCAGCAATGCAAAACAATTTTGCTTTTTCCTCTGCACTGAGCTCAAAGTGCTTTAGAAAGTTCCCAATGAACTTTTGTGCTTTCCAAGCAACAGTTCAACCAGCATGAACAATTTACAATATTTAGTATTTTCTTTACCCCGGAGCTATTACGTAAGTTCTCCAGAGCCCTCCCCTCTGATGTTTTCTCCAGAAAACCCCCCTCAACCCACGTTCCCTACCACCCTCACCCTCTGCAATATAACCACTCCCCTCTGTTTTCCCATCCACCCCTCCCAGTACCAAGCTGTCCTCCCTTTCCCCCAGAGAATCCCCTTTCCCCCACAGCCCCCCCCCCATAGAGCCTAATAACCCCTCTCCCCCAATACCAGTGCCCCTACCCTTACAGCCTCTCCCCCTCAGGCTCCTCCCATTTGAATACCAAGATTATTGTGAAATCCAATCAGGTAGAATTCAAGTTAAAAAACAGCAAGGTGAACCAAATACCACCTCCAGTACCCGCCCATTCCCCTTGGTACCCTGTGAGGCAATGGAAATGCCCAAACTACACCTGCCATTTCTGACAGAATTTGGGCATGACCGACTTGTAACCCACCAGACTGCAGCACAACCCAATCACCCACCCCAACTTGCTTCTTCCAGGCCTTTGCCTAAGGCATTCAAACTTGAACATTCCCCACAGTTCCATCATCACACTAATTCCTCCGACCAAAGCACAGGTGGGTGGGTGGGTAGGCGAGAGGATCACTGGGCTCCATCTGCAAGTTCCATCTACAAGGCATCACTCTGCGTTGCGACATCAACATCAACATGTTCTACAGCTTAAGAATCTTCTGGAAGCAAGGTTCGTAGTAGAGAACTAGCATGACAAGGAGGCTCAATATAGAAGATGCAGCATCTGAAAACCACCCCAAAAAAGGAGGGGTGCCTGCTGGCATTCACGTGCCCGGGATTGGTGCTCCAAGATCAAAAAGCAAATAAACGCATCTGCTGGTGGCCTGGATGCATCTGACTCGGACTTTACGATCGCCACCCTCAACAGCTCATCTGAAACCCTTAAAGGATGGCCTCCTGCACACGGGTCTTCCCGAGCAAGGCCTGGAGACATGCCAGCGGAGAACTTCCTCCTCCTAAGACTGGAAATGCAATCTGCAGCCATCAACTTAGGCGCGCTCTCTCCTCCAGGGCCTCCCCTGCGGCTCTGCCTCGCCTCACACTGGCCAGGGCCTCCATGTCTCCTGGTGCCATCTGGTCGCCGAGATGAACACTCTGGTAACAAACCACGGTCCATGAGGCCCCTGTGTGCCTCTCAGCTGGTACCAGCGCTGCGGGCCCAGCCAAGGGTGCACGTTCAACCCCACCCTCTCCACCGGCAAGCAACCCACTCGCCCCACCCCAACCTCTTGGTCAAGGTTACCAGCAATACCGACTCCAACAGGGACGTGACGACGTCCCGGGCTTACCAGATTACCAGAAGCAAGGCCTAAGTGAAGGGATAACCTTGAGAGTTAAAGGGAGGAGGAGGAAGGGCAGAGGAGTCACAGGAGAACCTAGAGGGAGTCCAGAGGGGAGCTCTGCCACCTGGAAAACAAAGCGGGGTCAGCGCTGTCCACACACGCGGCCTCTGCTCAGCAGCCGTGAGGCACCTTACCAGCCGCCGCACCTACTCCTCCATCTCACTCCTGCACCACCCTCACTGGACTGGGCCTGCCTCACCCAGACCGGGCTCCGCCGGCCGGGCCCGTTACATACCACCCTGGGCCCGAGCCGTCAGCCCCGCGAGGCCAAGTTCAATTTCCACAAGACCAGGCCTCCTCTGCGCCCGGGCGAGCTCACACCCTGGTCTGGAAGAAAAGGGGCTGCTGGTGACACGGTCAAGGTCAGCCCTCCCGGCCCCCCTGCCTTCCTCCCTTCCTCAGCACTCAGGGCACCCGGGCCTCCAGCGGGGTGGCAAGACCGTCTCCTCCAGCTCATCCTCTGCCTCCCTCCGGCCGGGCACTGCGGCTCGGCCCACGGGGCCTCTCTCTCCTGGAGGCCGGGCCCCTCGCCCGCAAGCAGCGGCGAGGCCTGGCCTCCCCCGTGGCTGCGGCTCCTGTCAACGAAGCTTTCCCCAGATCTACCCTCCCCCTCAGCCTTCCTCCCCCTGGGACCCCGAGGGCCCCAGCCTCGTCTAACTCTGCCATCGCCCTCCTCTGCTCCCTAAGGCCCCCCTAACCCTAAGGCTCCCCTAAAGTTCCCCCTAAAGCTGCCCTAACCCTAAGGCTTCCCTAGAGCTTCCCCCTAAGGCTCCCCTAACCCTAAGGCTCCCTAAAGCTCCCGTAAGGCCCCCTCAGGCCCTAAGCTGGCCACTCCGCCCCACGCCACTAGCCCGCGCGGCCCTCCCTGGCTACCTCCTGCCGGACAGGCCGCAACTTTGGTGCTTTTATAGCCGGGCCGCGTCACCGAGCCCCGCTCCGCGGGACGATTCCTCCGCCGCCCCCGGAAATAGTCCGCCCCCCCCCACTGCCCGCCCCGCCCGCCCCGCCCGCGTGCTGGCCTCCGGGGCCTCCGCCCTCGGCCGAGACCCGCCGGCCTCAAGGTCACACCGGGGGCGGGTTCCCTGGGGTGAGTCCCCTTCCCCCCAGAGGTGGTGGGGGTCCCAGCCATCGTCCCCCGAGAGAGGAGGGGGTGAGAGGCGCGGGGTGTCCGGTGCCTCGGGGTCGCCTCAGGTCACCCCGCCCCGAAGAAGCCGAAAAAAGGGCCGGCCAGGCGTCTGGAAAATTCCAGGCGGCGGAGGGATCTCTGCGGAGCCGCGTCACCGGGGCGGCAGCGCGTGACTGTGACTCGGCTGGCGGCGGCCGGGCCTCGTGAGCGCGCTGACGTCAGCGCCGCGGCCGGGGGGCGGGGCGGGCCCGGGGGAGCGGGTGCTGGCAGCCGGCCGCCCGCGGAGAGCCGCACCCATGGCCGTGCTGACCGGTGTCCCCGGATAAGAAACCCAGCTGTGATTTTATTTTTTTAAATGGTTAGGCTACAAAAAACAAAAATAAAAAAATAAATGGTTAGGCTACATCTAACTAAAAAAGAAGAAAGGGAAAAAATATGGGTCTGAAAGTTCAGCCCCGAGTTGCCACAGTAGCTCAGAGGCGTGCGTCACGGCTGTGCTGTGCCGATGCCAGGGGCTGGGAGTTTGGAGTGTTTCATAAGGAAAGCTCTTCCTGCCCGGGTAGAATATGTAGTTGTTATGTTCTAAGTGGAAAATGCCAGATGCAGAGGAATAAATGAAGATCTCATTGGGGCATAAAACAGTATCTGTAATTACGTGGCAACAAGACCAAAAGGGTAATTTAACCCATTTTATTTCTGGATTGGGAGGTGGGAGAAAAGGAACATTAAAAAAAAAAAAAAAACCCTAATGTGTCCAGGGCTGTTTACAGCCTGTGGGGGGCCTCAGGGCGCGGTTTGGTGCCCACCTGGGGCACTGCCTGCTGGCCGCCCGCATGGAGCAAGCCCCCAGCCTGGGTCTCCTAACGCAGAGGCACAAAAGGGTGAGCTGTCCCCTCCCCGAGGCTGGGCAGGTCCTGAGGGCTCGGTGAGGATTTTGGGAAGGGTAGTTGGCACCTCCTGGGCACCAACTACCCCTGTGGGGCCAGAGTGAGGAGGAGGAGCCACAGCCTGGGACCCCCGTGTGGCCCAGGTCTGGCCCCCTGAAGTACAGGGTGGAAAGAGGACAGCCATCAGCATAGCCAGAACTGAGAATGTTCTCTGGGCCACTGCCAGAAGTCTCCTCCAGAGGAACCACCCACACCCCAAACAAAACCGCCTCTGACAACAAGCCCCTCGGCAACCAGGAGGAAACTGGGGCAGATTCCCCACCCCCACCCGTCTTTGCAAGATGGCATCTGCCTGCGGGCTGGGCCCGCCCAGTGGTTCTCGGAAAGTTGATGACTCTTCTGTGACTTCGGCCCACAAGGTTGAGTGGGGCAGGCCCTGGCCTGCTCTCCCTTGCTCCTCAGCCAGGCTCCCTGCCAGGGAGATCCCGGCAGCTCACCCTCTGCCAAGGTCTTGTCCTGGCAGCATGTTCCCGGGTGGGCTGGGGAGCCGTGGCTTGAAAGAACAGTGTGGAAGAAGAGAATTGCCTGTCAGAATGTTCTGGAAAGCTAGGAGGTATGTGTAACGCCAAGCAAGTGCCTGCCTCCCCTGCCGTGTCAGCCCAGGCTGGGAGTCAGCCCTTTATTTACCACCAGGCGCCGGAGAGGCGGTGACAGCTATGGCAGCTGCCACACACACACACACCCCGCCCTGGATGCCTGTGTTCTCCACCTCGGCTCTAAAACCCCCAATCATCCCCAAGTCCCAAACTGTCTTAGATTTTATTCTCCCAAAGAGCAGGAGGAGGTGGGATTGGCCTCACACTAAGCATTAGCATTCTCCAAGGCTTAGAACGCCATCATGAAGGGACCAGGCCCCTCCTTTGTGCCTGTGCTGCCGCCCATTGTCAAGGACGAAGCAGCAGCTTCAGAGGACCCTGTGGAGAGCTCTCCGGGCCTCCCAGTTGCACAAGGCTGCCGTCCTTCGGGAAAGGAATGTGTCTGAGAGGAAGCGAGGACAGAGAGCCGCACAGGGACGCTCTGTCCTGCCCGAGGGGAGGACGGCGGGCAGCAGCTCCCCGTGTGCAGGACCCACATCAAACCTCTGCCCCTTTCTCAGCAAATAAGGCTAAGGTCCCTCAGCCCGGGGGAGGGCAGGGCAGGGCAGGGCGGGGCGGAGTGTGTCAGCAGATTTCTCTAGATCAAAACAAGCTGTTCCCGGAAACCAACCGCAGTAAACAGCCTGGGTGCGGTGGGGTGGGTGGAGGTGGGCCCGCCCTGCCGGCCGTTGGGGCCGAGGCCGCCTTCCTGGCAGCCCTCGGGCCCTGGCTGGGGGAGGAGGGAGTGGGGGAGGGCCCCTTGGGCAGCCTCCGACTTCAGGGTCAGCGCTCGGCCTGTCCTTCCTCACGGCCACGGCGCCTCCCCTCCCCATTCGTTCTGAAGTCAGCCCAGCTCTGCTGGTCCCAAACACACAGCCCAGGAGGTTCCCGGGCGGCGGGAAGAGGAGAGGAGAGGGTGGGAGGGGGTTCTCCTTCACACCAAGGACAGGATAAGAGCATTGTGAACTCCACTCGTCCCCCGAACCCCCGTGGGCCGGTCCCTGCGCTGTGGCCTAGGCCCCTGGGCTGCCTCCTCAGGGACCCTCAGCGGGCGGCTCCTCACAGGGACCCTCAACGGGCGGCCTCCCCACAGGGACCCTCAGCGGGCGGCTCCTCAGGGACCCTCAGCGGGCGCCCTCCTCACAGGGACCCTCAGCGGGCGGCCTCCTCAGGGACCCTCAGCGGGCGGCTCCTCACAGGGACCCTCAACGGGCGGCCTCCCCACAGGGACCCTCAGCGGGCGGCTCCTCAGGGACCCTCAGCGGGCGGCCTCCTCACAGGGACCCTCAGCGGGCGGCCTCCTCAGGGACCCTCAGCGGGCGGCCTCCTCAGGGACCCTCAGCGGGCGGCCTCCTCAGGGACCCTCAGCGGGCGGCCTCCACAGGGACCCTCAGCGGCGCCCTCCCCACAGGGACCCTCAGCGGGCGCCCTCCCCACAGGGACCCTCAGCGGGCGGCTCCTCACAGGGACCCTCAGCGGCGCCCTCCCCACAGGGACCCTCAGCGGGCGGCCTCCTCAGGGACCCTCAGCGGGCGGCCTCCCCACAGGGACCCTCAGCGGGCGGCTCCCCACAGGGACCCTCAGCGGGCGGCCTCCTCAGGGACCCTCAGCGGGCGGCTCCCCACAGGGACCCTCAGCGGGCGGCCTCCTCAGGGACCCTCAGCGGGCGGCTCCCCACAGGGACCCTCAGCGGGCGGCCTCCTCAGGGACCCTCAGCGGGCGGCTCCCCACAGGGACCCTCAGCGGGCGGCCTCCTCAGGGACCCTCAGCGGGCGGCTCCTCACAGGGACCCTTAGCGGGCGGCCTCCTCAGGGACCCTCAGCGGGCGGCCTCCTCACAGGGACCCTCAACGGGCGGCCTCCTCACAGGGACCCTCAGCGGGCGGCCTCCTCAGGGACCCTCAGCGGGCGGCCTCCTCAGGGACCCTCAGCGGGCGGCCTCCTCAGGGACCCTCAGCGGGCGGCCTCCTCAGGGACCCTCAGCGGGCGGCCCCTCTGAGCCGGAGGCCTCCCCAGTCTCAGGGCCTGAGTGAGGAAACTGCACAGTCACCCACTCTGGCTGCCGGCCAAGCCCTTCCTGCCTGCTGCCGCCCAGCAGCTCACGCAGAACAGCCACCAGCGCCCACACCGGCCCCCCCAGCCCTACACCGGCTCCCAGTGCCCACACCAGCCCCAGGCGCCCACCCCAGCCCCCAGCACCCCACCCCCACCCCCAGGGCCCCACACCGGCCCCCAGTGCCTCTCCCGGACGTGACCCTGAGCACACCCTCCATCCTCCACCCTGCCTGCCTTCCTCTTTCCCACTTCCTCATCCTGAGTGTGTCTTGCGGGAGGCTCTTCACGAGGGACTCCTGGCCCAGCCCCCCCTCAGCTCCTTCAGCCCTTGGCCAAAGCCAGAGGTCACCTTCTGGGGCCCCACCCACCGGACCTGGCTCTGTCAGGAAGGGTGCTTTGTCCTCCTGGATCACGGCGCCCCAAGGCCCCGGTGTGCTCCCTGCCCAGAGGGACCTCGGGAACCGAGTGGAGCAAACAGTCTGTGTTGTAAAGGCCCCTCTGCCCCCTGTGTGCTGTCCATGAGCGTTTGTGGTATTTGTGGACTGTCAGGAGCATCACTCCACAAACTCTGGGGTCTGTCCAGCGCTGGGCTCCCAGGTCGGCGGACAAGGACACGGGTGGGGTGCTCCCTGTGGGTGGGCTGGGAGCTCACAGGAATGCCTGGGGTGGGCAAAGGAACCAAAGCCGGGAGAAGCTTGAGGGAGAGGGTGTGGGGGCTGACCTCCCCAGACCCTGGCTTATTGTGCAGAGGAGGAGGCAGCCAGCCCCCTGCTTGCCATGCTTCCATTGTCTTGTCCCACGTGGGCCAAACACGGGCAGGGGGGCTGGGAGGGCATCCTCAGTGAGAAGAGGACTTCTCACCTTGGACCCATGACTCCTCTGGGGGTCACAGGGCCTGTGGGCTGTGTCCCTGGGGGCCTTTCCTGGTCACTGCTGGGGCAGATCCAATTGGGGTCCACTCCCCTCCTAAGGCCAGGCTTCCAGGAAATTGGGTGGTGTCAGTCCCTGCATCCAGATTCCCTGCCACTTACACCCCAACTCCTGTGCATCAGCCTTCGGTGCCTCAGCCCTACTGACTCCCCTCCCTCAAGGTCCCTGAGCCCTGCCCAACTGGCCGCCTGCCTGGAGCCAGCCCTGCCCTTCCCTGCCAGTGCCTCCACGTTCCCGGTCACCTCTGGGTCCTGCAGCCCTGCCCCTCCCTGCTCACCGGACCCTGCTGGCCTCCAAGCCAAGCCCCTGTGTCCTTGCCCCCCAGCCTCCAGCAGAGGGAGGGCTGTGGGAGAGAAACCTGGTTCCCCCAGCCTGGCCTCCCTCCACCACTGAAGCTCCTCCAGCGGCCCCCAGCCTCCGAGGTCCCCTGTTGCCAACTAAGCAAGGCCCAGTTCTGGGCCTGTGCCCACCTTGCCAGCCTCTCCCCAAGCCGTGCCCACCAGGACCCCTGGCGACAGCTCCTCTGGGCAGGGAGCCGCACTGGTGCTGACAAACCACGGTCTTCCACCCGCAGGTCTGCACAGCCCCGCCTTCTCCAGCGCCCACCTGCCTGCAGCCCCACTGCTGGGCCTCCCGCTTCTGCGAGGCCAGTCTCAGCTCTGAGCCTGGCTCAGATTCTCCTCGAACCTCAGAAGGAGGTTCTGCTCAGATCCCCTTGGCCCACCTGAGGGGCATTGCTGGGTGAGGTGTGCGTGGTGGCAGGGCTTTCACGGGGAGAGCAAAACCCTCTGGGAGGTTCCAGCGGCCCATGAGGCTCCGACCTTGACAGGGAGGGAGCCCTGTGCTCTCACTGGCCCAGAAAATCAACAGTCACCACCACCCCCTCCGCCAAATGCCAAGGTCAAGTGGGCAGGGGACAGAAGTCTTAGGAAAGAGCTGGGAATTCATTGCTTGTGACCAGTAGTTTAAAATAGCTCGGTATGGGTGGGGGAGGGAGGTGCTGAGAGCCGGCCTGGACAGCTGGGAGGGGGAGGAACTGGGCGGTCAGCTCCTGTGGGCACAGGGTGAAGCAGGAGGGAATGAGTGGTCTCAGGGTGTGCCCCCCCCCCACACACACACCTTGGACTCACCCAAATAACCCCAGTTTTAGACAGGAAAACTTCGTAGGAAATTTTTAAAAATTCCGAAGCAGAATTTGTTTTCAGGACATGGATCCTGATCTTTGAATAATGTGGGTCCCATCACCAAATGAGGAACCTAGGGGAACCCCTGTATCTGGTGCTCTTGGAGGTCAGGGGTCAGGGACTCCCCCATCATGGATGGGAAGATGATGGTGGCGTCTGGACCCACGCCCCCAGGGCACCTGCTCAGCGAGGATGTGGGCAGCAAGGCCGGCCAGACCCAAGCCCTCCAGATTCTGCCCCGGTTTTTCCAGCTGCGTAGGTCGGGCAGGTGGTGCCATCTCGCAGCCTCTGCAGCTGAACCCGAGGAAAGGACGGGCTCAGCTGCCCCCTGCTGGCCGCAGTGAGAGAAGCAACCAGCAGGCAAGGACTGTGGCGGACCCGCCCGGCCAGCCCCCCACCATGGCCCCAAGTGGCTGGGTCAAGGCACCAAAAGCAGCCAATCTTGCGGCACCAGGCTTTATTATTACTATTATTATTATTATTATTATTATTATTATTATTTTAAATATATTATTGATTTCAGAGAGGATGTGTGAGGGAGAATCATTGATTGGCTGCCTTCTGCACAACCCCTATTGGGGATTAAGCCTGCAAACCCAAACATGTGCCCTTGACCAGTATAGAACTCAGGACCATTCAGTCTGCAGGCTGACACTACTCACTGAGCAAAACTGGCTAGGGTGGGGCACCAGGCTTTTTTTTAAAATTGAAGTGACGACCCCGGCCTGCCCTGCCACCTGTTCCGGATGAGGCTGGTTCTCTGAAACATGGAGCTGGTGTGGGCAGGAAGCAGGTGCGAGGCGGCTCCCAGGGCTGTGAGTGGTGGGGAATGACAATGGGATTACCGTGCTGATGGTTCAGTGACCTGTTACCTGAGGAATTAAGGGGTGTCTGGGAGCCATGAAGACCCTGTCCCCCTGCACCAACCCCCATCGGCAATCACTGGGCGCCTCCAGAGCCAAGAGAGCTGCCAGGCTAGTGGGGGTAACCATGCCTGCTTTACGTTTTAAAGATTTCTTTTTAATCCTCACCTGGGGGTATGTTATTATTATTATTATTGATTTAGAGAGAGGGGAAGGGAGAGGGAATTGGGAGAGAAACATCGATGTGAGAGAGAAACATTGATTGGTTGCCTCCCACACAAACCCCAACCAGGTATCAAACCCACAACCCAGGTATGTGTCCTGACCGGGAACTGAACCTGCAACCTTTTGGTAAATGGGCCGATGCTCCAACCAACTCAGCTACCTGGCTGCCAGTTGGTAGTTTGTAAAATCCCCAAGAAGACCAAGATAACAAACCTTCAGAGTGGTGTTATGGGTTGAATTGTGTGACCCAGTAACGCTCAGTATCAGAATGTGATGTTGGCGAAGAAGTTAGTGTAGACAGTGTAGTCAGGATGAGGTAGAGTGGGTCCTTAGTCCGCTATGACTGGGGTCCTCAGGAGGATGTAAGACGGACACACGGGGGAGCCACAGACTGCCAGCGGAACCCCAGAGGCTGGGAGAGGCAGGAGGGACCCCTGCAGCCCTCCAGCCTCCTGAACGGAGACAATGCACTTCTGCTGTTTACGCATGGCCCTCGGCTGTAGAACCTGTGGAGGCAGCTCCAGGAAACTGCAGGCGGGAAGAAAAGGGGACAGGAAATGACCTCAGGACCGGGTGGGATGAGTGAATGCAGGAACCTGACGTAACCATAGACAGATGCAGCCATTGCAGGCCAGAGATGCTTTTACATCCGTCACTTAGTGTCCCCACTTCACAGATGAAGAAACTGGGGCTCAGAGAGCTGATTTTAAAAGTAGCATATATTTTATTGATTTTTCACAGAGGAAAAGAGAGGGATAGAGAGTTAGAAATATCGATGAGAGAGAAACGTCAATCAGCTGCCTCCTGCATGTGCCCACAACCAAAGGTACATGCCCTTGACCAGAATTGAACCTGGGAGCCTTCAGTCCTAGGCCGACGCTCCATCCACTGAGCCAAGCCGGTTTGGCAGAGAGCTGATTTTTGATTCCACAACCAGGAGCGCCTACCAGCGGCCTCCCGCCTCTGCCAACGGTTACAGAGGTAGGAACCGGGCGCTCTGCCCAGGGGTGTGCAAGATTAGACAGGCACCCTCCTCCCCAAACCCGAAGAAGCAGGTATTACGCCATCCCCATTGTATTTATGTATTTTTTTAAAACGAGTTTTTATTTCAGAGAAGAAGGGGGAGATAAACACAAAGCAGGGAGGGCCGCAGTGAAAGCGTGGTGTGGCAGGCAGAAGTAAGGCTCCCAAGATGCCTCATCCCTGGAGCCCGAGAATCAGAATTTACAGGCAAAGAGAAATTAAGGACCCTCTTGGGCCTCTTACCCTGACCATCCACCAAGATTGGACAACCTCACCCTGGCTGCTCGGTGGCATTCAGCACGGAGCCGGAGCCCGAGGGCTGCGCTCCCTGAGCATCTTCTCTCTGTATAAAAGGCTAATGTGCTGTCCGCCGGGTAACGCTGTCACAAAGCAATGCCGGCTTCCTCTCCCTAGTGACCTCTAGCCTCATTGGTTTCTTCAGCCCAGGAACAGGACTTGCTTTATAGCCAGGTGGAAACACTTTACATGGTAACCAAACGTCTGTGAAGCGTTTTCCCGGGCCCCATCTCATCTGGTCCTCAGAGAAGTCCTGAAGGAGGTAGATAGGAGACTCAGTGGAATCCTATTTTCATTAGCCGGAAAACAGAGATTTAGAAAGTTTAGAAATGTGACCTGATTGAAAAAAAAGAAATGGGGGACCTTGAAAATGACTTCAGGTTTTCTCACTGCGCAGAGTTAAATATTTCACCCTTTGTTCTCCCTGTGTGATCTACAATAATGATGTGCTTCGTGTTGATATTTACTGCTGTGTTGCTGACAGTTACCTGAAAGAGAAGCTGGGGAGCTTCACTGGGCTGGAAAAAGCTTAGCTACACCAGAAAGCAGGTCTAAACCAGTTTATTCTGTAACTGTAAGAGGCTAAGTTGACACTTCATGCAGCACAATACATACAAAGCTCTCGCTGGTGCCAATGGCACACGTGTTTCCATCTGTCATTGTCGGTTGTGAATTTGGTTGACACTTCCATTATAGAGAAAGGACGAATAGCGATATTAAAATATTTCGAATTCATTTCCTTTCAATGTGCACCGGGCCACTAGTGGTTAATAAAAAGCCCATACACAGCTGCGAGCTGTTCCCCAGGCTGTGAGTTCCCCAGCAAAGAGGGACTAAGTGGCTCATCAGCTGACTGTAGGGAGAAGACGGGCCATCCACCTGGGCCAGGGGTAGTAATAATCACAAGTGTCCTTACACTGGACGTGGCAGGTAGAGGAGAGGCGGAGGAGGGACGGAGTGCGGGCTGAGGACCCCATCTCCTTCCCTGGCTTGAAGATGGAGGGGCCTCTGGAAGCTGGAGCCGTGAACAGGTTCTTGCCAGAGCACGGAATACAGCCCTGTCCACCCCCTCCCCTCAGCCAGCGAGTTCCCTTCAGACTCGGACCTCAGAGCTGAGACAGTGAGTGTGCTGTGTAAGCCACCGAGATCATGGTCATCGGTCACAGCAGCCACAGGACACTAGCCTGGTGGAGCGGGCAGAGGGCCTGGGCAGAGAAGGGGCTCCAGGCCTGCCAGGCCCCAGGCCATGGTGCTCCCGGAACCACAGGATGGGTGCCTGTGCCATCGGCGGGCCCTGGCCTCCTCCTCTCCAGCTTTCTGGGCACAGGACCTCGCCCACAGGCCAGCGCCACGGGCATCACTGCCGTGCAGCTTCCTGCGGGGTCCGCAGCGCGCCGAAGGGCTGGCCTGACGCTGGCCTTGCCCAACAGGATCTGTGGAGACAAACTGCCCCTGCCCTGACCGGCTCCCAGGCTGGGACCAACTCTCATTACTCACAAACACCGAAGCTGCTGGAAAGGTTTTATTATTAATAAGTCACGTGGTACAAAACAATCAGAATATTTAAAGGACATTTAGCAAAAGGCTTTGTCCCAAAGGACAGGAGGAAAGGTTAAGACACAATGGCTGCTTAGAAAACAGGAGTAAAAAGTAATTTGTGTGCACACACGCCCACCACACCCACAGGCCCCGGGGCCCATCAGATAAGAGTGCACTTGGCATCAAAACAGTGTGTGGGCTGGAGGGCCAAGGGCCGGGAGCCAGACGCTGGGCAGCGGGAGCCAGTGACTCCAGGCTGGGCACCTTTTATGACAAATACGGTCCCTGCTGCCCGAGGCGAGCCCACCTCAGACACCTGGAGTTCCCACGTCACCAGGGAGGAGGTGGCTCTGGCATCTGGAGGCGTGGCTGGCATTTCCTCGCCCACAGCCCGCCAGGAAGGAGACAAAGCGAGCCCTGAGCTGGCTGAGCGGGCGCCTCTTCCCGCAGAAAGTCCCAGGAAGCGGGGAGCTCCTGGGCTGGCCAGCCGGCGCCACATTCACCGCGGCCATTTGTTCCCAAGAAAGAGGGACCGCTGTTGGGATGGGACTTCCCGCCTGGCCGGCCCCCAGCACACACCACCTCCCAGGGGGAGTGGGCTCTGAGGGTGTGGAGTTTTCTCCAGTTGCTTCTGAGTTTACTGGGTTCCAGGAACCAAAGCTGATGAGTAAAAACTAAACCAACCTGAAGCCGGGGGTTTGGGAGCTTCTCCCAGTGGGGGCGGGGGCCCTCCAGCACAGTGACGTCACCAAAACCAGCAAAGAGGCACTTTCCTTCCGGTCAGTGTCCCTGCCCACAGAGGCCTGAGTGAGGGCACAGGTGCCCCCGCTGCGCTGGGCCTGCCCAGCTCCCTCCGGTTCCCTCCATCCAGGGAGGGCCTGAGTGCGGCCCCTCCTCCCGGTGCTGCCACCGGCCATGGCTCAGCTCTGAGGCCCGGCCCACCCGCCAGGGACGCCCGCCTGGCACATGCGTGGAATGGAATGCCGGCCAGGGCACCGCGGGGATGTGGTCGCCGAAGTCCAGGGAGGACAAAGACGCACACGGGACCTGCAGGGCCCAAGCCCTGGTCCTTGACCTCCTGCCGTGGGAGCCGCCGTGTGGCTTCAGAGCAGGAAGCGCTGTCCGTCTTGGGCCCACAGGCGAGTCCCTGGGTAAGGGGGTCCGGGCCTGAGGAGAGGTCCTGGGTGGCAGCGGGGCCCACAGTGCGAAGGGTCCGGTGGGATCCCTGAGCTGCTGGGCACAGCCCGGCACAGCCAAGCACAGACGTCCCTGCTCCAGCGTCGAGGTAGCCTTCTTCCAGCTCAGGGCCCCGCCCGGCCCTGCCCGCCTCCTGCGCACTGCCGCGGCCTCAGCCCTGGTCTGGGCGCTCGCCGGGCTGCACCACGGTGTAGCTGCCCTGGCCCAGGGACAGCTGCCGGCTGAAGAAGGACGTGGTGCGCTTCGGCTTCACCGGCCTGATCTGCTCGCCTGTCGGGTGAGGACCCTTGAGGAGGGCTTCCGGGAGGCCCAGCCCCCAGAGCCTGCTCTGGGCCTCGCTCTCCTCTCACACCAGCCGCCTCTGGCCTCGCTCTCCCACCCCGACTCTCCCACCAGGGACGGGTGTGGGCGGGCGTGTCACAGCCCCAACCAGAGGCAGATCCGGGTGTGAGTGATGCTGGGCCAGCCGTGGTGCCTGAGGAGCTTTGCTAAAACCTATTCCCGAACAGACCAAGGAAACAAAGGACCTGGACCTACAGGAGGCCGAAGGTGAGCTCAGCAAGGCCAGAGAACCTCACGAGGGCCCAGTTTCAAGCAGGTGCCATGTTGCTGGGAACACCTCTGACAGGATGGGGTCGAAGGGGCACTCCACCTCTGTGACCCTCCTCCCCCCAAGCCAGAAGCCCTGTCTAGTCCTGAGAAAAACATCCAACTCCAGAGAAGGGAATCCTACAATGTCCCTGACCAGCCCCCGCGACCCCAACTGCCAAGGTCAGAAACGGTCACAGCCAAGAGGAGCCTAAGGACACATGACAACTGAGCAGTGTGGGGTCCAGATGGTCCACGAACTAAAGAGACACGAGGCTACACTAAGGACTTCAGTTAACAACATGAGAACCAGCCCTCGCTGGTGTGGCTCAGTGGATAGAGTGTCCGCCTACTGACTGAAAGGTGTGGGTTCAATTCCAGTCAGGACACAGGCCTGGGTTGCAGGCTTGATTCCCAGTGTGGGGCATGCAGGAGGCAGCCAATCAATGACTCTCTCTCATCATTGATGTTTCTGTCTCTCTCTCCCTCGCTCTTCCTCTCTGAAATCAATTTAAAAAAATGTCATCAATATTGGTTCATTAATTACAATATATATGCTATGTTAACAGAAGATGTTAATTTAAAAAAATGAAGCAAAAAAAGAAAAACAGGCAACATACGTGAACAGTAATTCATGAAGAAAACATACATGATCACGCACATAAAAATGGTCCAACTTCACTAGAATCCAAACAGCACCTCCCCCTGGACAGTAACTCACTGCCTCTCAGCCGTGAGACTAGAAGCTCCCAGTGCCCTCGGGCTGGTGCGGGTGCAGAGACGCGGCCCCCGTGAGCGGCAGTGCAGGCCATCCGTCCCTCCACAACGTCCTCTGCTCTGGGACCCGCTCAGGGCCCCACACGGCGACCCGGGAGTTCCTAGTCTCCACATCGGGACAGTCCTGAGCGACCACATCTGTGGGCGCAGCAGGGAGAGGGGCCGAGCAGGACTCTCACCGGGACCCCAGAGGCCTCTGTGGGACCCCAGAGCTCAGCTGTGATGCTCCCACCAGCCCTCCCCTCAGCCAGAGGCTCCCAGCCTCCCTCCCCTCAGCACCACGAGGAGGCCACTCACCCTCCTCCACGTAGTCGATGGTGGACAGGTGCTGGATCCGGCTGCTCACCACGCTGCCCTGTCTGCGGAGCTGGGGGCGCTGAGCGGGAGGCGGTGAGGAGCCGGGGGCGGAGGAGGGACCGTAGGCGCCCTCCTGGGGGGCAGTGGGCTCAGAGGCCTGGCTCAGCTCGATGCAGTACTCGATGAGGCTGCTCATCAGTTCAGCCTGGGGAGGGGAGGGGGAGGCCAGCGTGAGGACCGGAGGGGGGCGGGGGCCAGGCCCAGCCTCCCAGCCCCTGCAGGGAGAGAGGAACCAGATGGATGTCCCTGCCCTCTCCGGTGGGGGAGGCATGTGAGGAAACAAATGCCATTCACAGAGGAAAGCAAGCGGGTAGGTGCTCGGCAGGCCAGCGGGCAGGGCAGGCAGCCCACCTGTCCTGGTGGGCGAGTGGGGTCCTGGGGCTGGGAGGTGGGTGGGAAGAGAACATTCTACAGCTTGGGAAGGCAGGAGGCACAGCTTGGGAAGGCAGGAGGCACAGCTTGGGAAGGCAGGGGGCACAGCTTGGGAAGGCAGGGGGCACAGCTTGGGAAGGCAGGAGGCACAGCTTGGGAAGGCAGGGGGCACAGCTTGGGAAGGCAGGGGGCACAGCTTGGGAAGGCAGGGGGCACAGCTTGGGAAGGCAGGGGGCACAGCTTGGGAAGGCAGGAGGCACAGCTTGGGAAGGCAGGAGGCACAGCTTGGGAAGGCAGGGGGCACAGCTTGGGAAGGCAGGGGGCACAGCTTGGGAAGGCAGGGGGCACAGCTTGGGAAGGCAGGAGGCACAGCTTGGGAAGGCAGGGGGCTGCTGCTCTGGAGAGGATGAGATCGAGGGGAGGACGGAGGGGAGGACGGGGCCAGGCAGGCCTTGGCGCTGAAGGAACTGCATGCGTGTTGGCCAGAAAAGCCTGCAGGCCCGTGAGGGGAGGAAGGCGGCAGTGAGGTCATGGGGGAGGGGTGGGTGGCTCCCACTGAGCACATTCTTCAACAGTGAGCCTTCTCAACCAAAGTGAAACAACACATCCTATGTAAGGAAAGCCTAATATGCAAATGTGAACAACACATCCTATATAAGGAAAGCCTAATATGCAAATCGATTGGACAGTGGAATGATGATCAGATCAGTGGGGGGTGGGCCAGTGAGCAGGCAGCACCAGGCCAGCCAGCCAAGACAGGTGCCAGCAGGCAGAGGGAAGGGATGGATATTGGGGGGAGGGGTGCAGTGAGGGCATGTACTGGGGCGGGGGAGGCCGGGGAAGTCCATGGGGGGGGGAAAGGAGAGATATGTACTATTATTTGTAATATTTCAAACAATAAAAAAAAATTAAAAAAGAGATGTATGGATAGCAAATAAATACATGAAAAGATGGTCACATCATTAGTCGTTAGGAAAATGAAAATTAAAACCACAATGCATCTCTCTCGCATCAATGTTTTTCTCTCTCTCCTTCCTTTCCACTCTAAAATTCAATGGAAAAACATCCCTGGGTTAGAATTAACACACACACACACACACACAAAACCCCACATAAGTGAGATATCACTATTACAAAGTAATGAGAATGGCAAACAAGCAAATGAGACTGACAGACCAAGTGCTGACAAGGACGCAGAGGACAAGAACCGTCAGACACGGGTGGAAACGCAAACAGGACAGTCATTCAGGAAACAGTCTGATATTGTCCAGTAAAGCCAGTCACATGTTTGTCATAGAACCCAGCAATCCACCCCACGTGGTGACAGAAATAATGCCAATAAAAAATGGGCAAAAGACGTGAATGGCTGGTGCGGCCCAGTTGGTCCAAGTGTCATCCCACACACGGAAAGGTGGTGGCCTCAATTCCTGGACAGGCACATACATCTCCAGGTTTCAGGGTCAATCCACAGCTGGGGCTTGTGCGAGAGGCAACCAATCAGTTGCTCTCTCTCTCTCTCCCTCCCACCCCCGTTCTCCCTCTCACTCTCCCTCTTCCTCTCTCTTCCTTTCTCTTAAAAAAAAAAAAATAAATTAAAAAAAAAAATATATATATATATATATATATTTATGTATATATATATATATATATACACACACACACACACACACACACACACACACACATACACACACACAGGCATTTCATCTCTAGGAAGAAACACAAACAGCAAATAACCTACTCCATAGCTTGTCTGTGGTGGAGGTAGTTGTCAAAACTCACTCTTAAAATGGATGCATTTTATTGTAAATTATGCCCCAATGAAATTGAATAAAAAACAAAAGAGCCGAAACCGGTTTGGCTCAGTGGATAGAGTGTCAGCCTGTGGACTGGAAGGTCCCAGGTTCGATTCCGGTCAAGGGCATGTACCTTGGTTGCGGGCACATCCTCATGGGGGGTGTGCAGGAGGCAGCTGATCAATGTTTCTCTCTCATCGATGTTTCTAACTTTCCATCCCTCTCCATTCCTCTCTGTAAAAAATCAATAAAATATATTAAAAAAAATAATTATAAGGAGATACCGCTACTCACCCACCAGAGTGGCTAAAATGAACACAAAAAACTGGTAGCCTTGGCCCCTATGGCTCAGTTGGGTGCTGCCCTGCTCACTGAAAGGTTGCTAGTTCAATTCCTAGCCAGGCATATACTCGTGTTGTGGTTGCATCCCCGGTTAAGGCGTGTGCAGGACAGCTGATGTTTTTCTCTCTCTCCCTTCCTCACTCTCTAAAATCAATAAAAACTTACAACCAAACACCCCCCCCCCCCCGCAGTAACAGTAGGCGTTGGAGCTTGTTTTATCAACTCTCATCTGCCCTGCGGAGTGCAGACTGGTAATCCGCTTCGGAAGCTGGCCGTGTCCACAAAGGCTGAGCGCGGCCCACTGGGACAGCCACTGCACTCCTGTGTGCACCAGACAAGCAGCACTGCCCGCTACATCCCAAACCAGACACCAGGGTCCGCCAGCGACAGAACGGAGGACTCAATGCTGAGCGAGAAACCAGCCACGGGAACACACTGGGGAGCCGCTGCTAGAAGGTTCGCAGACAGACACAATGACTGGCAGATAGAAGTCAGGAGTGGGGAGGGGGTGATTCTTCGGGGGGGAGGGCTGGAAGGGTGCTTGAGGGGTCTCCTAGGATCCTGGCTCTACTTCCTAATCTGAAAGGTGGCACATGGGTTTGTTTTGGGAAAATCTATTGAGTTACACACTTAGGATTTGGGTACTTTTCTGTATATTATAATTCAATACAACATTCACTTAAAAAGAGGTCTAGAGTAGCAATGTAAAATGTGTGGTCATCAGCATGAAGATGGGGACAGCGAGGCAGTCAAAGCCGAGAGAGGAAAGAGCTCCTGGACATAAGCAGTAAATGGCGGCATAGGTGCAGAGGGGCCCTAACCTTTCCGTGCTGCCCCTCGTCTCAGAGCAGCCAACTCTCAGGGGGCGTCAAGGACAGAGGGAGCTGGTGTGGTGGTCGACAGCACTGGGAAGCCTTCAACACACAGCCGCCACCAGTGTGCGACACTCCCGGCCAGGCCCAGCTAACTCGCGAGGGGGGCCCAGGCCAGTAGAAGCCAGCGCGCCGGTCCCCGGCCCTCAAGGGCCCTTTCACCCCCACTACCTGCTTGGAGTAGATCTTGAGCAGCTTGTTGACTGGCGTGCCCTCATTGTTGCCATCGAACTCCAGCCACAGGACAGACTCCTCCTCCTCGGGGGACGTGTGGTCCCAGGACAGCTCCTGGAAACGCAGGCCCAGCAGGACGTGCTGGTCCGCGGAGAGGCAGAGCTCGGACGGGGCAGAGGTCTCTCCCCTGCCCTGCCTGGCTCAGCGCCACCGGAAGGGGCTTCCTGGCTGTTTAACTCTAAGGCTGAGTCTGCATTCGTGAGTTCTCCAGGGAGAGGGGTCCCTGCTTCCATCAGACCCAGGAGGAAGAGACACCCTCACCACAGTGTGTCTCAACAGGGTATCACGTGGGGGAAGAGCAAGTGGGGAGGGAGACCCAGGAGCTGAGCAAACTGTCCTGCCAGCTGTGGAGGGCTCCTGAGCAGGTGCAGAGACGCTGCCCACAGGGCAGCTGCCACCACCGCCCTCACTACCGGCAGCCAATGCAGTGAGAAGCAGGACGCGGATACCAGGAGGGCTCCTGGTCCTGGGCATTTCTGGAAACCAGAGCTGGTCCTCCGCCACTGGAGGGCAGAACAGCCAGGCCTGACAGGGTCCCTCCAGTCAGAGGCCTCATCCCAGCTGCAGCCTCCCTGCCTGGGCAGCCACTGCCCAGCACACTGGGCTGCCCCAGAGCAGACCCAGAAAAGCCCAGGGACATCGAGGGAGGGAGGGTCCCCTCGGACAGGCCACCCACCCTGCCCAAGGCCAACCCCAGGCCCAGGGTAACCCGGAAGGCCTGGGTAAGGACCCCACTCTCATCCTCTCCACTGAGACCTCCAGGATGGTACCTTCTCCCTGTTGTCGATGACATGCACACCCTCCAGATTGATGGCTACCGTCACCGGCTTCCGTCCGCCCCGGTGCAAAAAGCTCTGGGCTGGCTTGTCCACCTCGCCGTGGAAGAAGGCACACCTGCGAGGGGAGCTGGGTCAGCCGGTCCCGCCAGCACCGAGCAGACGGCTCAGCTGTGGCTCATCACCAGCGAGGGCTCTGCCAGGCCCTTCGGGTGGCTGGAGGCTCTGGGGACGCGCCCCAGGGGAGGAAGGCTGGATGGAGGTGGTGGCATCGGAGCGGGTGTGCAGGACAGGAGGGTGTGGACAGGCAGGAGGCGGGCCTGAGTGGCACACAGAGGGGGCACCACAGGCAGAGGGAAGAGCGTGAATCCAGGTGCGGACAGAGCCGCCAGGAGCCTGGGGACCAGGGCTGAGCCGCTGGAGGTTCTCTTTCCGTCCACACGCACCTCCTTGACCACCCCTTTGGGTCCCTGCTTTCAAACACCATCCACGTGCTGATGGCTCACCAGTTATACCGAGCGCTAGACCCAGACACCAAACGCCTCCCCGGAGCAGCCGCCTGGGTATCCAGCGGCGTCCCCGGGACAGAGGGCACCCGGGCGTGGCGGCCGGCGCGGGCTCACCCGTAGTAGGGAAGCTCGTGGCACTTGGCGAGGTAGGCCTGGTAGTGGGTCCGCAGGGGCGCCTCCCGCTCGCTGTCGCCGCTGCCCTCCTTCACCCTGCGGTAGGCGCTGAGCAGGCCCTGCTCGCTGGTCCCGGCCTTGGCCCCGCGGCCCCGGAGGGCGGCGAAGAGCCCGTGGCCTCGCTTGCACAGGTGCGCGGGGAGGAAGGAGTCCAGCTTCTCCCTGCAGGGAGGCAGGGAGCTCCGCATGAGGCTCGTGGCTGACAGGCCACGGTCCTCCGGTGCGGACTCGCTCATGGGGGGAGGGCAGGCGTGAACTGCCAAGGGTCCCCACTTCTGCCACCGCCACAGCACACTGACGGGAGAGTCAGCCCTCCCAGGCCGCCCCGGGCCAGGCTGAGGCTGGAGTTTCACAGGGAGACGTGGCTTCCTGGGCTAGCAGGACTTTCACAACCAAAAATGGAACGAGTGACCTAGAGCTGGCGATGCTTTCTTCTGCCAAACAGGATGCAGGGAAACACCAACCTGCAGCCCACGGTGCAGGTCCGTGAAAGAGGGCATTTCTCTCACACAGAGGAGGACAGCCCGAGTGTGACCGTGTCCCGCCCCCGGGGCGGCCCGGTGACTCCCGGCCGCACGCTGGCGGTTCTGCAGCGGCCACAGCTGGCCTCGGCCTCCCACGTGTAACCTAAGGACACTGGCGTCCACAGCCACGGAGGGCACAGCGTGTGTCACACACGTCTCCCTGCAGCTGCGTTTCCGACAAAGAGGGAGGACCACACAGCGGCCACGGGGAAGGGAGGGCGAGGAGAGGCTGGCAGCAGGGCAGCATGAGGGGGTCTCCAAGGGGCTGCCCCCTTCTCAGGGCTGCCTGCCGCGGGCACTGCCATCACTGTGCCCGCACAGTCCCCAACTGTGACCACAACAAGCCAGCCCAGCTCCTTCCCGACCTCACATGAAGGCTGGCTCCTCCTCAGGCACCGAGGGCTCCAAGGGCTGGGGCGCCCACAGACATGCTGAGTCCTCCCCAGCGGGCCCTGGGCCCAGGGCAGACGAGGAAGAGGAGGCTCAGAGGGGAGGGCTCACCCAGTCTCAGTGTCAGGGCTGAGGCCTCCTGACCCTGCAAGACCTAAGGCCAACTGTAATAGCATTCTGGGGCGACCCTCCCCCCGCCCGCCTCAGGCCGCGCGGCCTCACCTCACGGCGCAGGCGGTGGGCTGGCCGGGCTGGAAGGGCCCGAGCTGCAGGCGGCACACCAGGGCGCCCAGCGCCTCGCAGTCCTCCGCGTCGCAGGGGTACCGCGCCGCCAGCACGTTGGCCTTGGCCTCCTCGTAGAGCAGCCGCAGCACCTCCTCGTCGTGGATCTGAGGGGGGAGGGCCGCTCAGCTAGCTCCGGCCCCGGGTCCGGGGATCCGGGGACAAGGGGAGGCGACACACAGGGCACCAGACCCGCCCGTTCTGGCTCACCTGGAGCTCCCTCCGCTTGGGGAAAAACACGTTCCTTCGGAACTGCAGGGACGGCTCATCTGCGGGGAGAGGCCGGGTCACTGCCCAGCCCCTCCGACCGGCCAGTCCCGACCCCAGGCTCACCAACCAGGCTGAGAAAGCCGGGGCTGGGCACAGGGGGGTGGCTTATCTGGACAAGCTCGCTGGCCTCCCAGCCCGTCCTCTCCTGGGCGCCCCTCAGGCCCCCCAGCTCCCCTCAGGCCCCCAGCTCCCCTCAGGCCCCCCAGCTCCCCTCAGGCCCCCGGCTCCCCTCAGGCCCCCAGCTCCCCTCAGGCCCCCAGCTCCCTCAGGTCCCCCAGCTCCCCTCAGGGCCCCCCCCCCTGCTCCCTCAGGCCCCCCCCCCTGCTCCCCTCAGGCCCCCAGCTCCCTCAGGCCCCAGCTCCCCTCAGGCCCCCAGCTCCCCTCAGGCCCCCAGCTCCCCTCAGGTCCCCCAGCTCCCCTCAGGCCCCCCCCCCTGCTCCCCTCAGGCCCCCAGATCCCCTCAGGCCCCCCCGGCTCCCCTCAGGCCCCCAGCTCCCCTCAGGTCCCCCAGCTCCCCTCAGGGCCCCCCCCCCCGCTCCCCTCAGGCCCCCAGATCCCCTCAGGCCCCCCCGGCTCCCCTCAGGCCCCCGGCTCCCGGGCCAGGAGAGGCTGGCGGGCCTGGGAGCCGGTGCTCCCGCCCGGGGGGCTGAGATGGGGCCGGGGAGCACCTCACCTGTGGCCACGTCGTCGTCCGGGGCGTCAGTGAAGCGCAGCAGCAGCTCTGGCCACTGGCGGCCCAGCTTGTAGGGCTGGTGCTTGGGCTTCAGCTGCACCTCTGCAGGCGAGAGGGGAGCCATGCGGCCTCTGCCAGGGTGGCCCGAGGCACAGCAAGCGCGCTGCCGCCCACCCCTCCGCAACACGACAGAGTCATGGTCAATGTCAACTGAGCAGGCACTGAAAGGCCCGAACCTTTAGGGGGACTCTCCGCAATGCCCATCCTCACTGCACCCAGAGAAAGTGAGGCTCAGAGGTTAGGCTGCAGCCTCTGACTGTTCTCTCCCGCCAGGGCAGGCCGGAGCCCAGGCTGCGCGGAGGGCAGGTGTGGGTGGCGGTACAGGTGCACCTGGCACTGCCATTAGGAAGCAGAGCCCGAAGCTCCACATTTTTATTTACTTATTTGTTTAAATATATTTTTATTGATTTCAGAGAGGAAGGGAGAGGAAGAGATAGAAACATCAATGATGAGAGAGAATCGCTGATCAACTGCCTCCTGCACCCACCCTACTGGGGATTGAGCTCACAACCAGGGCATTTGCCCTTGAACAGAATTAGAACCTAGGACCCTTCAGTATGCAGGCTGATGCTCTATCCACTGAGCAACACCGGCCAGCTGCCCCGCACTTTAGACTGTAAGTTCCCTGAGAGCAGGGACACCTCTGGTCCTGTTCCCCACTGAATCCCAGCATCCAGAGGGCTGTCCGGAAGGAGGGGTGGGCGGGCTCCGCACACACTTGTGAGATGAACGAGGTAGCTGACTCGCTGAGCCCCCTGACACACTGGAGGCGGGGACCTGTGGCAGGTGCTCCCTTCTGCCAATGGCCCAGCCCCAACCAGCCTTACACTCCAGAGAACTTCCATTCTCAGAACAGGACTATACTGACCCACAGAGACACACTTCCAGATGGGCCTTTCTGCTGGAAACTCACCCAGACAGACAGACAGACTGTCCCTGGACCCTGTTCCATGTAGAGTGACAATGGCACTGAGAAGGCAAACCCTTCCAAACATCCAGCTCAAAGGAAGAGCAGCGTTGGCAGACGGCACCCCCCTCTGCCTCACTGCCCTGGGCATCCGAGGGTGCTCACCCACTCTGGGGTGGGGTGGGGGTGGGCCAAGGCTCTGAGGGGCCGAGTCAAAGCTGAGCGACCTTTCGGCCTCCCTGAGCGCAGCGAGGGAACAAAGGGGCAGTGACTTCCTGCTGGCCTCCAGCCGCCCTCCCGGAGGAGGCAGGTCCCCAGGAGACCGGCCGCAGGGACACACAGAGTCCATTCACTTCCCTGCGTGGGAGCAGGAATGCGGTGGGGAGGGAGGGGGCGGAGGAAGTGGGAGGAGGAACAAGCCGTGGCCAGCTGTAGGGACAGGAGCCGAGGCAGGGCAGCCGCGGGAACCGCCACCCCAGCTTTTCAAAGACACCAGCCCAGGGGCCCACAGTCCTGCCCAGGGACAGCTGAGCCCGGCGGGGAGCAGCCGGAGGAGAGCGGTCAGCAGGAAGAGGGTGGGCGAGAGCAGCAGCTGGCAGGAAGCTCTAACTGCTGGGCAGGGTGTGGGGGGGCAGGCACCCACTGTCCCACCAAGCTAGCTGATAACCCCGCCAGGGCAGAGGCACAAACCCTAACCACTAGGGGCCCCTGGGACCAGTGACCCCCCCTTCTTTTTTATAGATTAAGATGTTACATATGTGTCCCCCCATCTACCCCACCAGTCACCCCCTTCTTGTCCCTGTTCTTGAAAGAGAAAGTTTAAGCTCAGAAAACATGCCTGGCCCTGGCTCCAGGTGGGGTGCTTCCCTCCCCCTGTCCAAGCCAGGAGGCTGGCGGCCGCAGGGAACCCCGCCCTCCCCTCCCAGGCCTGAGGTCCGGAGAGCCATTCCCTCCATCCGGCACCATCCCGCCTTGGGGACCTCAGCCTGGAAGGGCAGGAAGGACATGGTGGTCACAGGCCAGACACCAGGCAGGCCGAAGGCCGTGCGGCAGGGCAGTCAGTTCCCACTCGTCCTGCCTTCCCGCGCTCAGGAAAATTCGTCAGCGGTGGCAGCTTCCGGGCTGATCACCACCTGCTCCCTGCTGTCCAGAGCAGGGGCAGTTCAAAGAGGTCAGCTGGGGGCCACCCAGGTTTCTGTTCTGACCTTGATCCTACCTCTCGCTGGTCCCACCACCCAAACCTCAATTTTGACACCTGCAAGTCAGGGCTGGGCCGTGAGGATAAGGTGAAACTGCTCAGGAAATGCCAGCTCGGGTGGTGGCACAGACCTGCGCACGCAGACCACTTCCTTAGTGTCACTGCTCCTGCCCCGGCTCCAGACTGCTGAGGCTGCAGGGCAGCTGCCCCTCCCCTGGCACCCGCAGAGAGGAGGTGGGGGCAGAGGAGCCAGGCATGCCCTCAGGGCTCTGGGTCCTGGAAAGGGTGGACAGACAGCTCCTACCCACACAAGCCCCGCCTTTCCCGGACCACGGGGGCCACGGGTTCTGGAGGCTGATCAGTACCCTCCGCCTGGGCTCCGCAGAGCCACGCCTTACCCAGCAGCGGGGAGACCAGCCAGAGGGCGAAGATCTCCAGGGCGACGTCCGGGAGCTGCAGGACCTCCCGGATGGCGCGGTGCAGCTCGTGGGCACTGAGGGACGGCAGGCTCTCCACTGCCAGGGGCACCACGGTGTCATCCGCCAGGTACACCAGCACGTCTGCTGCTGCAATGAAGCCAGGCGGTCAGCGGGCCAGCCTCAGGCACAGGCGTGTCCCGCTGGGCGGCCCCCACTCTACACCCTCCGGGGCCCTGGCTACAGAGACAGTCCCTGAAGGGTCCAGTGCAGAACGCTGTCCGTTAGGACTTACGCAAGATGCTCAAACCCCCAGAAACCCACAACTCTGCCCCGGGGACTGGTCCCTAACCCCCAAAGGCTCCAATGAGAGCGGGCCACACGCCCCAGCAGCCCAAAGGACTGCTCTGTGCTTCCTCCACGAAAGAGAACATTCGTTGGTGGGGGTGGAGGCTCCATCCATCAGGCTACAGAGCTGGTGTATCAGGTTGGGAGGGGGGAGAGCTGGGACCCACTATTATCCCAGGGCAAGGTGCTGTCTCTCTCTGGTTCAAGGCCACCTCAGGGCAAAGCAAGACCCAGGGCTCAGCTTCCTTTGAACTCTTCAAGCCTCAGAACCCAACACCATGGTTTCAGGAGAGGCCGGGGGAAGGACAAGCTCAGCCTTCCCTTGTGACAGCCTCTGGGATTCCTGTTTGGAGCCCAGAGCCACAGGGAGACCCTGGGAGGAGCGGCCAGATTCAAACCCCCATCCCTGGCACCGCAGTGCCCTGCGGTGCACTGAGTATGGAGGCCAGCATATCCCGGCTCCAGTCCCTGGCCAGCTCCCGGCCAGCTGGCCACCGTCAGCAGGTCAGTGAGTGAGGCTGCCTCCCCGAAAGCAGGGCTGACACCCTCCCTCAGAGTGGCTGTGAATCAGGAGGGGAAGCCTGGGAAAGGCGAGAGCATAGTTTATCATCAATAAACTGAAAGTGCTTTTTAGATACCCTAGAGCTACTTTCTTTTAAAAAAAAAAATAAAATAAAAGTATTTTATTTATTTCAGGGGGGAAGGGAGAGGGAGAGATAGAAACATGGATGATGAGAGAATCATAGATCTGCTGCCTCCCTTACTGAGGATCCAGCCGGAAACCTGGGCATGTGTCCTGACCAGGAATCCCAACTGTGACCGCCTGGTTCATAGGTCAACGCTCAACCTCCGAGCCCCGCTGGAGGCAGCAGCTACTTTCTTGGGAGATTGTGAAACGATCTCCTGGAGGCCAAGATGCAGACCCACTTCTCAGGCAGGGAAACAGGCACTGAGGGCTCTCAGAGCCCAATTTCCTCCGGTGAGGTGAACACAACGGTCCCTTCAAAAAGGTGTTTGTGTGAAAGAAGCCCAACAAAGAACGTGGACGTGTCACTTTTCACTCATAAGATTTCTGAACTGCACAGCGACGTGCGACAAGCTCATTCCACAAACGAGGGGAGGGAGATTCAAGAAGTGGACCGGCCAGGGCCGGGGAGCAGTTGGTTAGTAGCATCTGATATGCCATGGTTGTGGGTTTGATCCGGGCCAGGGCACATACAATGACTGCATCGTAAGTGGAACAACAAGTCAATGTCTCTCTCTCTCTCTCTAAAAATCAATAAAAAAAACGTCTTTTAAAGAGTACCCAGTTTGTAACCTAGTAACAGTACCCAGCACCTCTGATAGACTGGGGTCACTCTTTCACACCTCAACATCTCTTGTTAGTTAACAGATTCTCTTTAGGGGGCAGATGAGGAGCCAGGCCACTCCCCCAGGGCCGGGGCCCTAGGAAGGTATGGCGGGGAGACGGGGACAGGACCCACCTCGGGCTCCCACGGAGGACACGCTGCTTCGATGGGAGCGCTCCGCGGGGCCGGGCTGCCCGGCACTGCCTTCCGGCCCGTCCATCTGCGGAGGGAAAGAGGGCAGTTACTGGGGGGCCGGGGGTGGGGCCTCTCAGTGAGGAAGGAAGGGGTCCGGGGGCTGAAGTGTGAAAGCGAATGGCGGCTGGAGGCACGGCGTGCAGCGGGAGGGGAGGCGATGGGGTCCCCCCAACCCCGGGCAGGGCTGTGGGAGGGGAGGCCCGGGTCTCCCTAACCCCGGTCGGGGCAGTGGGAGGGGAGGCGATGGGGTCTCCGCTAACCCCGGTCGGGGCTGTGGGAGGGGAGGCGATGGGGTCTCCGCTAACCCCGGTCGGGGCAGTGGGAGGGGTGGCGATGGGGACCCCGCTAACCCCGGTCGGGGCTGTGGGAGGGGAGGCGATGAGGTCCCCCCTAACCCCGGGCAGGGCTGTGGGAGGGGAGGCCCGGGTCCCCCTAACCCCGGTCGGGGCTGTGGGAGGGGCAGGCCAGCCGGCAGGGGCGGGAGGGCGCCGCGCAGCCTCGGAGCGGGGCCGGCCGGGCGTCGCCGCGCTCTCACCTCGCAGGGACGCAGCGCCGGCCGCCTCGGCCCGGGCCGCCGCCTGGACTCTGACCCCCGGTCCGGTCCGGTCCGGGTGGGCCGCCCACCAGGACTCGGACTCCCCGGGCTCCGGCTCCCGGGCTGCGACGCGGAAGCCCGGGCGGAGGAAGCGCCGCGCCGCAAGCCCCGCCTCCCGGCCCGCGGGAGCCAATTGGCGTCCGGGGCCGCCACGCACGCGCTCTGCCCGGTGCCGCGCGCTCTCGGCCGCCCGCGGTCCTGCGCATGCGCGGTCCCGCACGCCCGGGTCACACTGGGTTCGTGTGGTCACACCCGGGCCGGCCGCGCCGCGAACGCCCGTGGCCAAGGGCGAGCGGCCCCACACCAATGGCCTCCAACCAGGTGTGGAAGGTTCTAGGCAGTCGGGGGTCTGGGCGTAGTGACTTTGAGCCTGTTCCCCTCGCCTGTGAAAAGGAGATGCCACTGTGCTGGGTGCTGGGTGCTGGGTGCAGGTGACCCAGGAGCACCCGTGAGGGGTGACCCAGGAGCACCCGTGAGGGGTGAGGCCCTTCGCTGTGGTCAGGAGACTGCGTCCCTGTCCTGACTCATCCCGGACAAGCCCCTAACCCTCCGGGCCTGTTTCCTCCTCTGAAAGGAGGGTGCCCTCCAAGGACCTTCCAGGCCGGCACACGTGTGTTTCCAGGAGCAGGCATGTGCCCTGCCATCTTATACACACACACACACACACACACACACACAGCCTCGGAGCCCGCGGGCCTTCCCGGGGCTGGGAAAGGCATTGGGGCTGGAAGAGCAGGTGTGAAACTGCCTGTCCCCAGGGCCACGTCACCAACAAGCCCTGGCAAGGCCAGCTTGTGTGCCGGAGGTGTGGGTCTCAGGAGACAAACAGGTCCATGGGCGCCTTCCGGAACTAGAGGAACAGAGGTTGTTCCACGTGACCGCGGTGAACCTGGTGATCAGCAGAACCAAGAGGGGTTTGCGGGAGGCGGGGAGGACTGGGTCACCAGGCCCTGCTCCCCGGGCATCCGAAGGGAGCCCCAGCTCCTGGCTCGGGCCTCGTTTCCTCGTGTTTGAAACAGCTCTCAGCCTGCTCTCAGGACCCACACTGCCCCGCAGTGGAGCCCATTACAATGTCCTCCTCACCAGAGTGACCCGAGGTCTCAGGACGCTCAGATCTGAGCCGGAGAAGAGGACACAGTGGCCACAGGCATCTCCGTCCTGGTGCTCAGCTCTGACCCTCAGACCAGATGCTGGCTCATGGCCTCCTACACCTGTCGGAGCAAAGTGGAGCAATAGTTCAGAGTAGCTGAGTGCTCACTGAGTGCGGGGCCTGGGCAAGGGCGGGGGAGGGAGGCCTGGGTGAGACTCGGAAGCTTACGGTTTGTTTATTTATTTATTATTTTTTAAATATATATTTTATTGATTTTCTACAGAGAGGAAGGGGGAGAGATAGAGAGCTAGAAACATGGATGAGAGAGAAATATAAATCCGCTGCCTCCTGCACCCACAACCAAGGTACATGCCCTTGACCGGAATCGAACCTGGAACCCTTCAGTCCACAGGCCCACGCTCTATCCACTGAGCCAAACCGGTTTCGGCAGTTTATTTATTTTTTAAAGTGTTAAGATTTTTAATATATATATATTTTATTGATTTTAGAGAGAGAAAGAGGGGAGAGAGAGAAGCATCAATGTGAAATTTGAAACACATCTGAAACTACGTAAGATGACAAGGTTGCCTTAAAAAAAATGTAAAATGCCGCGAGCAGGAAGGTAACGCGCCTCAATTCCCAGGCGTCTTCTGTGCTGTGCCGGAGGCCCCTTCCCTGCCTCCTATGGCCCCAGGGGTGGAAACCTGAGTAAGAGCAGCTGCCAGACCAGCCTAAGGGCTTTAATCCTATAACGCACTGGATATATTTCTCCATTTTACGATGATAAAACAGAATCAGAGAGGTGAAGTAACAAGGCTAAGACCTGGTGTAGGCGTGGTGGTGGTGCGGAAGCTGACCCAGGCCCAGGGCGGAGGAGCAGAGATCCCGAAGGCATTTCGGGGAGTGGGAGCTGCAGGGGCGGGGGTGCCAGGGCGGAGAGTGTGGTGGGCTTGGCAGTGAGGAGATCAGAGCTCTGCTCTGCCCAGCAGGCGGCTGACCTGGTGGGACTGGCAGGATGGAGAAGACCTGGTCAGGGAGGCTGTTCTGCAGGGCACCGGGGGGCGCTAACCTTGAGAGCCAAGGCCTTAGACTCAGCCATCAGCGGGGCTGGCCCCCTGCTTTTGCAAGCGTTAGGAGTCTGAGGCCCACGAAGGGATTTTCCGCCATCACTCCAGAGAGAACCAGCAGGAGCACGGCAGCCCAGCCCTCCGTGAGAGGCCAGTGCTGGGAAGACCTTGGGGCGGCCCCAGGAGCCGGGGCAGCTCCAGGGGGCGATGTCAGAGCCTACCCCGCAGGAGAAAGCAGTGGGTAGATGCGATCTGCTCTGCAGAGGGAGAGAAGGGCAAGCGGGACTGGTCCTCAGACATCTGATGGGAAACTGAGAGCTGCCACCAGATCTGGAGGGGCAGGAGGGGTCTTGTTGGGCCTTCACATTCTTGGCGGCCCCTTGGAGATGAGGGGAGAGGACTGGGGCTGAGGGCCGGTGCAGGGCTGTACGCTGATGCTGCCCCTGACTCGTCCACTCCTTTCTTTCATGAATATTTATTGTGTCTACTCTGTGCCACACGTTGTTCTAAGCCTTCAAGATAACTAACATTAGCCCGGCCGATGTGGCTCAGTGATGGAGCATCAAGCTTTCCTGAGTACCAGGAGGTCACGGTCGGATCCTTGCCTGGGCGTCATGTGCAGGAGGGAGTCAATCAATGATTCTCTCTCATCATGGCTGTTTCTATCTCTCTCCCCCTCTCCCTTCTCTGAAATCAATACAAATGTATTTTTTTTAATAAAAAAAAAAAAAAAGAGCCCCCTTCTCTCCATCTTCTCCTCCCTCATCCTGCAGGAGAGGGATTGGGGTCCCCGCCCTGTCAGCGAGGGGTGTAGTTGTTCAAGGAGCACTGGCGGTCGGAGCCTTCCACTCCAAAGCAGAGAGTGCTCCACCCTTCATGCACTCACACACACACACACACACACACACACACACACACCCAGCTCCCCATGAGGCTGTGGATGACTCAGCGGCGGTAAACAACTGGGAGGAGCCCAGCCCCAGGCCGGGGTGAGTCACTCCAGGGGGTGATTCCCGCCCTGCCCACTCCTTGTTTCTCCGAGGCTCAGGAGGATGAGGATGGGGCCCAGGCGGCCCTTGGTGGCCAGCTGGCTGTCCTTAGCCGGGCGGCCTCTGTCTGTGCTGCAGGGCTAATGGAGTGCGGGCCGGGCAGGCCCTGTCCCCAACAGACTCATTACAGCCCTGCTGGCCGAGGCAGCCGGAGGGCCCAGGCCTGGTCACACCGCAAGGCCGTCGTTGGCGGGCAGGTCGCCAGGGCCACCGTGGGGCCCCTGAGATTCCGCACCGCACACCTCCCGGGCCACAGGGCCACCCGCTGGCTCGCTCCCCTCCGCTGGTGCCCAGGCCGGTTAAACATTAGTGGGAGGTTATCAGTCGGGTTCGGGAGGGAGAGGGTAGTTACACTTTCACCACGTCTGCTCTGCGGGAGCCACCGGCCCCGGCTGGACGATGCCTGTGGAGGAGTTTGTGGCCGGCTGGGTCTCCGGTGAGCTATCTCTCTTCCTCTGTCATGTCCCCCAATGGCAGGTCACTTCCTGGGGAAGGTAGGTGACAGAGGAGGAGCTGAGGCCAAAGTCCTGGCTCCCGGAGGGTCCGGGCCAGCGGCCCCAGGGCCTGCTGGGAGCGGTCCGAGGGAAGAGGACAGGGAGGCACAGGTGGCAGGGGCTGCTCCAAGGCCTTGCTGCCCGCCGCCTGCCAAGAGGGGGAGCCAAGGTGAGCATGTCCGAGACGCCCACAGCACCTGCCCCGAACCCACTCCCCAGGTGTGGGCTCAGAAGGAAGTTCACCTTTGAGGGCACCCGCTGTCCCATGTTCCCCCTTCGGCCTGTGCCGACCTGGCAATGAACCGAGGCCTGGACCCTGAGGCCCGCTGTGCTACAGGCCCCGCTCAGCTTCTGGGGACACTTCTCATAGGAGAAACAGAGGGACTTTCTGAACCTGCCTCCAGGGATGCCACCTCTCCCGAGGCTCCAGGGCCGGCTCTGCTGCAAAGAGCAAGACCAGGAGGCGGGAGACGGCCGGGGCTGGACCCTCTGCGCCTGGGGCCAGAGAGACTCCCCTGAGGACGGGCTCTGCACGGCAGGCGGACAGGGCGGAGCGCCAGTGGGGCAGGGCCCGGACTGGACCCAGGCCCCAGACTGGACAGCGGCTGTGAGTTGATGGATGGAAGGAAGGAAGGAAGGAAGGAAAGAAGGAAGGAAAAGAGAGAGGAAAGGAGGAAGGAAGGAGAAAAGCTGTCAGGGAGGCAGGAGCAATGGGGACCCCTCCAGAGTTGTGGCTAGAAAAGCCAGCAAGACACTGGGGAGTGGGCGCCCAGTGAGGACCCCGTGTCCGTGGCTGGCTTCTCCCTTCCGCACGTGTGCCCTCGCTCCTGTGGTCCCCTGGTCCCCGCGCCCGGTGCGGAGGGCCCAGGGGCCAGCGGGGTGTCTGGAGCCGGTGGAAGGCCTGCCCCTCTCCTGCCTGAACCCCCCTTTCCTCCCAGCGCAGACTCGCTCCCTCAGTCTGGCGCTTGGGCCTCACTGACAGCACCTTCTTGTCACCACAGGGGCCCTGGGCTTGGTGCTGGGACACCCCTTCGACACCGTGAAGGTGAGTGTGGGGGAGGCGCCGAGGAAGGAGAGATGTCACCTGAACCAAAGGGCGGGACGCCCGAGGGAGGGCCTGGCTGAGGCCCCTTCCCGCCTCTGCTGCCCGCGGGCTCCTGCTCCGGGGCAGAGGCTGAGCTGGGCTGCCATGCCCGCCACCCGCCCACCCGCCTGCCCCCTCTGCCCGCCCTCCCCTCTCCTCCCCTCCAGGTGCGGCTGCAGACCCAGAGCACGTACCGCGGCATCATCGACTGCATGGTCAAGACCTACCGCCGCGAGTCGGTGGGTGGCTGCTCTTTGGGGCTTGGGGGTGGGCGGCAGCTGAGCATCGTACCGGCCTCCTCCTCCCAGGCAGGCTCTGCCCTTGGGGGAGCAGACCCAGGCCGGGCCGGGCTGGAAGGGCACGGGGGAGGCCAGGCCCCCACCACCCCGTGCCGCCCTCCCCTCAGGTCCTGGGCTTCTTCAAGGGCATGAGCTTCCCCATCGCCAGCATCGCCGTGGTCAACTCGGTGCTCTTCGGCGTCTACAGCAACGCCCTGCTGCTGCTCACCGCCACCTCCCACCACGAGCGGCGCCTGCAGCCGCCCAGCTACATGCACATCTTCATCGCCGGCTGCGCCGGGGGCTTCCTCCAGGTCAGGGCGGGGGGCATGTGCACACGCACACGCACACGCACAGGCACACTCACACACACGCACACACGCACACGGGGGCAGAGGTGGCCAGTTCGGCTTTTCCCCTCCTAGCCTCATGTGGTGACCACACTGCAGACCACGGCTGTGCCCTCGGAATGTGAGAGGCTGTTCCCAACCGCCCGGACTGGCTGAGTGGCCTTCCGCCCGCAGGCTGGAGGGGGGCCTGGCCTGCCAGTGCTAAGAGCTCTAGGACCAAGAAACACACAAAACATGTATATATATATGAGCTCCAGGACCTGCAGACCTCAGAGCCACCCACGTTCTGTCGGGCACCGGCTGCTGAGGGTGTGAAGGCGGGAAGGCTGGCCCAGCGCCTGCCCCTCTGGGAGGTGCCCCTGGAGGCGGGGAGGGAGGCTCTCTGAAGCCGAGACCCCAACACCAACGCGGTGACCTACGGCCCTGGTGTGTGGGTGCAGGCTGCTCCTTTCTTCAGACCCGTCACCTCTCACCCTGGGTTTGGGGGACTCCCTGGCCCGCCCCCCGCTTGGAGTGTGAGACGCTGAGCTTGGCAGCGGGAGGTGCTGTGGGAAGATGCCCTTTCGCCTTCCTCCTTCTCCTCAGCGTAAGCCGGGCGGCCCCAGAGCCCCCCTCCTGGGCCTTCACTCTTCTTTCCCTGCAGACCTACTGCTTGGCCCCTTTCGACCTCATCAAAGTCCGGCTGCAAAACCAGACGGAGCCGCGGGCAGGGCGGGGGAGCCCCCCGCCCCGGTACCGGGGGCCCGTGCACTGCGCGGCCTCCATCCTCCAGGAGGAGGGGCCGCGGGGGCTGTTCCGGGGAGCCTGGGCTCTGACGCTTAGGGACACCCCCACCCTGGGGATCTACTTCGTCACCTACGAATGGCTCTGCCGCCAGTCCACGCCGGAGGGCCAGAACCCCAGTAAGTGAGATGGTGTGAGAGGGCGGGGGGGCGGAGAGGAGCGAGGTGGGGAGCCGGTCCAGCGAGGAGGATGGGGGAGGCAAGGTCAGGGGAGGGCGCTCCTCGGTCTGGCCCTGCCCCCTCTAACCCTGTCCTTCCCCCAACCCCCCGGCTCCCTCAACCCCAGGCTCAACCACAGTGCTGGTGGCAGGGGGCTTCGCAGGCATCGCCTCCTGGGTGACAGCCACCCCCTTGGACGTGGTCAAGTCCCGGATGCAGATGGCCGGGCTGGGGCAGAGGGAGTACCAGGGGCTGCTGGACTGCATGGTGAGCAGCGCCCGGCAGGAGGGCCTGGGCGTCTTCTTCCGGGGGCTGACCATCAACAGCGCCCGCGCCTTCCCCGTCAACGCCGTCATCTTCCTCAGCTATGAGTACCTCCTCCACGCATGGGGGTGAGGTGCCAGGGCGCCCGCCGCTCCGGGGGCCGGAGCCCCCGCCTGCCCAGGTCGGAGCCGAGCTGAAAGCACCAGGCTGAGATTTCAATGGGAGTCTCAGCCGTCCTGTGGGGGCCCCTCCCGCCTGGAGGGGACACCGGCCCCCTTGTGACTTGACCCTCCAAGAGCTCTCAGCCTCCACCGCTGCCTGCTGCTAACTCTCCCCTGGAATCCAGGGGGCGCCTCAGCCCCTCCCCCCCATCTCCTTTCCAACCGCCCCCCTGACTCCCCTAGAACCTCCCATCTCCAGGCATCCACATGCTTCCGTGACTCCCACCCCCTCCAGGGAGAAGCCCAGACTCCACCGCTCCTGAGGGGGCGCCTCCGCCACCAGCTTTCCTCTCCCTCCACAGCTTGGGCAGCCTTGCCCCGCCCAGAACAAGCTGCGCCCTCGGCACCCCTGGCCTGGAGGCTGAGTCTTCCCCCCCCCCCCCCCCCCCCCGCCCGCCAACACAGCATCGCCGAGGGGTGACTCCACCAGCCCCAGGCTGAGCTGTCTCCTGTGCCTCCTCGGCTCCCCAGGCTGACTTTGGGTCTGCAGATCCCCTGCCCCCTTACCACAGCCCTCCCTTTGTCCTGGTGGCTGATGGGCTTCCCAGCTCCCAGGGTGGCACACTGACCATTTCCCAGCTCGGGGCCTGGTGCTCAGAGCGGCGGTGAATGGTGCTGAAGGAGTGGCACTGAGCTCCGGCCTCTGGCCTAACTCCAACCACCCACCTGCTTCCTGTCCTGCCCTGCCCCCACCGGCCCCTCCTGGGGAGCCGCCTCCGGGGGGTCAGCTCAGGGTGCCAGCAGCAGGGTGTCTGCCTAGCCCAGGGGTTGGCAAACTCATGAGTCAACAGAGCGGCAAACCGTGGCTCGTGAGCCGCAGTGTGCCGACCACTGGCCTAGCCCGTTCCCACCATGGCACAGGCTTTCTTATCTCCAGCCGTCTCCGGCAGAGTGGGCGTGAGCACGGGCTGAGGGTGCGTGCAACTGGCAATAAAGCTGAGCAGAGTTTGTCCTGATGTCTGAGACCAAGCTGGTCAACCTGGGCCCACCTTGTGGGGACCTGACGCCTGAACCCCTGCCGCTGCCCGTTTGCTGCCAGACAAACAAGCCAGGCTGCAATCACCCCGACTGACACAGGGCCTCTCTCAGGCTCAGAGCGGGTGACGCATCCCGGGCGACACAGCTGGGCCCCGCATCACACACTCGCCTGGGCGCATCTGAGCCCCGACTGCTCTCCGGGCGCTCAGTCTCCCAGGAGTCACCTGCGTTCAAGTTCACCTGGTGGGCCTGTGGGCACCAGCCCTGCCGGGGGCTTATCGGAGCCGTCCTTCACCAGATGGCGGGCACAGCCTGCAGTCACTCTCCCTCCCTTCGCCATACCGTGGCCACAGGGCGCGTGGCACGGAGCCGGGTGGGTCCCAGCCTCCCTTGCAGTGGGGTGGGGGCTGTGGGTGGTTACTGGAGGAGTGGTGACGTGCACACTGCCCTCACTTGCTTACAAGGCAGTTCCTCCCGCCGGTGCCCTGGGAGGACTGCTGAGGGTGCAGGGGGCGCCACTGGCCCGGAACCAGGGGACTGCCCAGCCCTCACGCCGCCCACAGCGGGCGAGGGCCTGCACTCTGGCTGGTGTCCCAGTGTGTCCGGGAGCAGCGCATCGGACCTCCGGAGCCGGTTAGAACGACTCCCAGCGGCCACCCCTACCCCCCCCCCCCGGCCTGGGCGAGTCAGAGGCTGAGGCTGGGCTCAGGCTGTGTGGGGAGAAGTCTCCCGTGACTTCACACACCTAAGGTGTCTGGCCGCTCGGCAGCAGACACAAGCCCGGGAGGCCGCTGTGAGTGGGTGGGAGGGAGCTGACCTGAGCCGGGGCCGCCACCCGCAGCCTCAGGAGCCTCTCCCGGTGGAAAGGGGGTCTGCCGGAGCCCCACTGTCCTTCCCGGGCCTGCTCCCCCAAACCCCTTCCCGCTGGCCAGCCTGTGGGTCAGCGGCCGGCAGCTCCGCCAAGCGCCAGGGGTGTGGCTGGACAGGACAGTCATGGGGACACCGCAGGGCGTCTGAGGCTGGAAGAGCCAAGAGCACGTGAAGAGGTGGCGGCTCACTAACCCGGCAGGAAGGGGCAGGAGCTCTGGAGGCAGTGCAGTGGTTAGAGCATCCTCCCGTTACACCAGGGTGGCGAGTTTGATCCCTGGTCAGGGCACACACAAGCGCCAACCAGTGAACGGATAAGTAAGTGGAACAACGAAAGTCGGTGTTTCTCTCTCTCCCTCCCTAAGAAATCAGTAAGTACATTTTTAAAAATTAAAAATAATAAAAGAAGAAACAGGAGGTCAGGGGAGAAGGTGAGGGTAGCTGCAGGGGGGAGGGTAAGCAGAGCTGCAGGGGGGAGGGTAAGCGTAGCATGAGCAGTGAGAAAACTCACCACAGTATTGGAAAGGAGGGTGGAAAGACAAACAGGCAGGCAGGAAATGGCTGGAGATATTTTTAAAAGCTAGATGTTTTACATCAGCAGGGTCTCATAATACGCACATTAATCCCTTCAGGTTAACAATAACCCACAACCTTCGGACCAACTAAAATTTATTTCTGCATAATATTGCAGTCTATTGTGTCCAATAGCATTATGCCTAAAAAAAAACAATCAATGTACATACCCTGGCTTAAAAACACCTTATTGATCCCACCACTGCCACCAAATCCCCCCCAAAAAACCTTATTGCTAAAAAATGCTATCATCTGAGCCTTCAGTAAGTCATAATCTTTTTTAAAAAAATACATATTTTATTGATTTTTTACAGAGAGGAAGGGAGAAGGTAGAGAGGTTGAAACTGATGAGAGAGAAACATCGATCAGCTGCCTCCTGCACACTCCCCACTGGGGTTGTGCCCAAAACCAAGGCACATGCCCTTGACCGGAATCGAACCTGGGACCTTTCAGTCCACAGGCCGACGCTCTATCCACTGAGCCAAACCGGTTTCAGCAAGTCCTATCTTTTTGCTGGTGATGCATCTTACATTCAATTAGTAAGAAGTGCAACATCTGTGAAGGGCAATAAAGCGAGGTGTGCTGTGCCACAGCCCTGGTCCCATCCTGAATCCGAACAATAACTTTTCAAATGCCGTTCTGATCAAGTCACCCTACTCCTTTTGTCCCCCTTGACAGCTTCCTGTTGTTCCGAGTCAGAGCAAGCTCCTTCCAGTCTACAAGGCTCACTCTGAGCATTCGCCTTCTCTTGGTTGCTTAGCTTACAATGATCTTGAGGTTTTCCCGAGATGAAGTGCAACCAATCAAAAAAATTCCCACAGCAAAAATTACCAGACCACAGGGAAAAAATTCCCACAACAAAAATGTCCAGACCCACGGGGGGAAATGCCACCATCGAATTAAAAATCAGTACAAAAAACACACAGCAGATTTAGCTGTCTGTCCTTGCATTCTGCAATTATATACTCCCAGTTGTGTGCTCTTTGATTATAACTGTCTCTTCTCTAAACTACGAGCTCCACGAAGCAGTGACTTTGACTCTAGGTGGCATACAGAGGTGCTCAGTAAATAATTTTGAACAAGTGAATGAATGAATGAAAGAAAACCATTCTTCCCGACTTCCCTTCTGTCAGGCCAGCGCTCTAGACTTTATGTGGATCCTGCTATCATTAAGCGCCTAGACTCCAGACCCAATACAACAGGCGCCATTTAAGAACCATTACTAATTCTGCCAATGGTGCGGGAACTTCCCAAGGACCCCTTCAAACGACAGAATGAGCGTAAACCAGGTTGTCTCCTTGGGGCAAACGCTAATACCATGACCTTGAAGATTAAAGAACCACACAGAAGACTACATAGACCGTGAGTCCCAGCTGAACCCAAGTCTCATAAATTAAGTCAAGATTTGGAAGGGGCTACACTTTTAGCAAAAGCAGAGACCAGAAAACTTCCACCCACCAGTAAGGGGAACCTACAAAGAAATATGTCTCTCTGTGTGTGGTGGGGGGAAATTAAGAATAAGATCAGCTCCCGGGTGAACCAGAAACCAACCACACGCCTGTACTTTCACCTTATGGTACCTGAGGGCTGGGACACCTTCCTCCCAGAAATTAATCTATCGTGGTGCCAGCGCCCCCTTGTGCCTGGTTGGAGCAACTACAATTTTTTGAAAGGCGAGCAGCCTGAATCAGGATCTTGAGGTTTTCCTGAGACAAAGTGCAACCAACGAAAAAAATTCCCACTAGAAAAATTACCAGACCCACTGGGAAAAAAGCCACTATGAACTAAAGCACCAGAACAAAAAACCCACAGCAGATTTAGCCCCCAAGCATTTCCGATATTAGGTTTATCAGATATAGAATGTAAAGTAACCATGCATAAAAAGAATTAAAAGAAAGACAGTATAAAAATTATTATGGCTATTTGAAAAAAAAAAAATCCAACGAACTGTCACAGTAGAAGAGAACTGAAGGCAGATGGGAAGGAATTGGAGCAGAATGCAGAGATATAAGAAGACAGGACCCATCTTTCTGCCTCTGGGCTCTGCATCCAGTTCAGCGTCTTCTCAAGACTGATGATGACAATGCAGAGTGTCCCAAAATAGTGCCTGGTATACCCCCAACAATATAGATAAATAAAATAAAATAGTGCCTGGCAAGTAGAAAACACTTTATAAATATCAATTCGTTTAAGCCACATTACTGACATGTAGTCGGTCACTTGCTATCTCTCCCTCTAGAACAGGGACTGTGCCTTACTCACCTTCGCCCTGGAGCCTTGTATGCCTTCTGAACACAGGGGTGTCCGTTACAGGCTTGTAAAGGAGTGAAATAATGTACAGAATGTTTTTTGCCATCCCTTACTTTGCACGTGGCAGTACCTGCGAAATTGAATAGAACTGCCTTGACCTTGATTTTAAAAAACTTGATCTGTTGGAAATAGTCCTCTTCGGCTCCTCTCACCCCTTCACACCTGATGCCCTATCCATGAGGAAGTCCCACCAACTCAGCAGCTTCCTGACTCGGTTTTCGGGTTTCCACTTTTGCTCCCCACCTTCCCACTTTTCCATACCGCAACTAGAATTAGATTTTTTTTTAAATATAAAATATGTCATGGTCTTCCTTTGTCTCAATCTCCCTCTACCCCTAAACTAACATTTCCTGTCTATTTAGAATACAGAAGGCAACAGATCAATGTTCCTCTCTCATCAATGCTACTCTCTCTCAAATCAATAAACTTATCCTCAGGTGAGGATTAAAATAAAAATCCGAGTTCCAAGTTTCCATCCTTCTCCCCTGAAAATTACACCCTGGCCTCTTTCCTCGTTAAAAACTTTATTTTCAGAAGCAGAACTGTTTTAAACACAGAGAGTTCAAGGCATCAGCCTGTCTGTGAAGCCTGTCTGTGAAGAGGTTCAGAAACTACCCGCCTGGCGTCAGGCCCCGGGGTCCCTCTTCCCTGGGCTGAGAACTTGTTCAGAGCTTAGACTCGGTCTCCCAACCTGCCTTCCTTTTCACCTTTCACAAAAGCCCGTTTCCATGGGAAACAGACCAGCCTCCCCTCTGCATCTGAGGGCGTTTCCATGGGAAACGGGAGAGCAGCGGGGCCCTCACAGGCAGCAGAGCCGCTCCGCCTCCTCCTCGCAGGCATAGAACTTTTCAAACAGCTCCGGGGAGGCGCCATTGCACTCAAACCACCGCCTCAGCGTGCCCAGGGCCCGGAGGGCGTCGGCTTTGGTGGGCAGGGGCTCGAAGCCGCCCTCACCAGGCCCCTCGTCTTCAGTGTCCACCTCCTCTTTGCACACTCCGGACACGGGCTCCTCACCCTCCAGGTCCACGAAGCGGGAGAAGTCCTCGGGGCTCAGGCCGCAGGGCACCGGGGGCATCGCAGAGGCTTTGTCCGGGGACAGGGGCGCTCTGCAGGGAGCCAGCCCTTCCCGAGTGAAGCTGCTCACGATGGACGGGGGAGGCACCTTGGCCCAGGCAGCCGCCACCATGTGCAGAGTGTCCAGCGCGGTGATGCCTGCCCCGGCCTCAGCCAGCGAAGTGCCGGCCCTCTCGCTCTGGACAGCTGCCAGCTTGCCCAGCAGACGGTGCCGGTAATGGGCCTTGAAGGCCCGGACCACAGAGCTGGGCAGGGAACGTGCGGTGCTGGCGGTAGAAAGAGGCAGGAGCCTCACATGGCAGAGCCCAGACAGGCCTGCCAACTTCTCCGCCGTTTGGGCAGCCAGCAGCAAGGCGACCTGTCGGCCCCGCCTCCCCATGTCCCGGTCAAACTGTGCCAACCACTCTGACCAGGGGATGCCCAGGTCAGGGTGGTAGGAAGCAGGAAGAGCCTCGCTGCTGACCCCAAAGAAGCACCTTGGTGCAGCTTGGAGCCCACTGACCAGTACCCGCCGCTTCTCTGTGCCCCTGGCGTTGGCGCACAGCAGCACCTGTACTCGATCACCTGTGCCCACTCTGCCAGGCACTGCCCGATACAGCAAGGGCACTTCAGCATAACCAAACACGTCCTCTGGGGAGAAGTCTTTAAGGGAAAGAGGCAGCTGGGTCTGGGACGTGAGGCCTGAAGGAGGAGGTGGCTCAGGGGGAAACGGAGGTGCAAGGACATGGCGGGCCCCGAAGCCCACGTTGTTCCGGCGTTTCCAGCGGACCAGCCAGCCGATGCTGGGCACAAAGTCCTGGCCCATGATGTGGGCCAGCTCCTTGGCCTTGTGGAGCAGCCGGGGCCCCGTCACGTCCCAGGCCTCGGCCCGGGCGATGTGGTACCAGCAGAGCAGAGCCTCGTCGATGCTGCTGTACTTGGACTCCCGCTTGCGCTTGCGCTCCCTGTTGGCGGTGCCGCTGCACCAGTCTGCCAGCAGCTTCTCCTTGTTCTTGCAGATGCGTGAGATCTGGGGCTGGGAGACCTGGAAGCGCCGGGCCACCTCCGACTGGGACATCTTGGACTCATCCAGGAGCTCCAGCACCTGTATCTTCTCAGCCAGGGACAGGGCATGCAGCTTCTTCTTGCTGCTCAACTCCATGGCTCTCCAGGCACCTGTGGGGAGGACATGGGCCATCTGGGAAGGGTGAGGGGTACACTGGGTAGGAGGTGTGAGGGCTGGGCTGAAAGAGGAAGGGAAATGGCTAGGCTGAGGGAGCAGGGCTGGGCATTGATCAGAGGAATGCCAGAACACAGAGGTGGGCTGGGGAGGGGGTGGCTCAATGGTCAGGAGAGGGGAGTCTGGGCTGGGGGGTGATATAATTGGGGGAGAAAGGTGAATAGGGCCAAGGGAACAGCTGCAGAGGCAACAAAGGAGTGTGGATGGAGAGAACATGGGGCCAGGGCTGAGTGGGCAGTTGTGGGTCAGACCATCAGGGCTGGGGGAGGAATCTGAGGAGGAAAAGGGGGATGAGGGCCTGGGCTGGATCTAGATGAGATCCTGGAAGACGAGGTGGTGGAGAGGATGAACAGAGTTGAGGTGACAGGTGTATAGATGACAAAGAGAGATGGATGGGGCTGAGGAAGCAAATCTAATTTGGTGCTGGGTCCGAGGAGCTAGGCGCGGTGGGGTGCGGTCTGGAGAGTGAATGGGAGCACAGGGCCTGAGGGCAGGTGCACAGAGGACAAAGGGCAAGAGGGGTGAGTTGGCCACGGCCGCTCCAGGGGGCGGTGTCACTGATGGGGGAGGTGGGGGCCGGGAAGGGTATCTGGGAGCAGGCTCGAGCGTCCGAGACCTAGGCCGGCAGGGAGCAGGCTCCGGACCTGGCCGGCCTCTTCCCGCCTCGATGCCAGGTCCGCCCCGGCCAGACCCGGGGTCCCCCGGCCTCCCGCTCCCGCTCCGCACCCACCTCAGGCGCTCGCCCCGCGGCTCCCGCCCTGCCCCCGCCCGTACCCCGAGCCCCGGTCCGGGCGGCGGCGGGAGAGTGGGGGGGACGGTGCCACCACCCGGAGGGCGAGGAGGGCGAGGAGGGCGAGGGGCTGCGCGGCCAGGGGCGGCGGCGCGCGCACGCCAGGCCTCCTGCGCGCTCCCGCGCCGGCTCTCCCGGGGAGACAGCTGTGCGCCGCTCCGCTCCCACCCGCCGCGGCCCCGCCCCTGACCGATTAGATTGGCCTCAGCGACGGCCGGTCCCGCCTCCGGGCAAGTCTCATTGGACGTCGCGGAAGCGGCGGTTCGTCGAGCCGTCTGGGGGCGGGGCTTCAGCGCGCGGTTGACAAGGCCGATCCGCCGAGCCTTCGGCTGGGACCCGGCCCGCAGTACCTGAATGTGGGGGCCGGAGAGCAGCTTCCTCACTACCAAACAGGCTAATGCCCCTCAGGAAGTGGCCTGAGAAAATGGAAGCAAGCGTTGTTTCACTAAAGCTGTTACCAGGGACAGCGCTGGCCTAAGACGCATCCCAGCTACAGAGAACTATTTGCCTAGGGCCAATTCTGACTTAGGGCGTGTAGAGACTAATTTTTACTAGATTTGGTAAGAAGAGGAAGAAGAAAGTAAAGATAAAAATTATGATCAACAAATATATATCAAGTGAATCTAAAAATCAAGTGAATTAAAAATCGGAGGAACAGAATAAACTGGTGAATATAATAGAATCGGGCAAAGAAAGGGAGTAGATTGATAATTATTGGGGGGGAAAGGGGTGCAGGAAGAGCAGGATTAAAATCGCACACCTATGGATGAGGACAATGGGAGGGAGGTAAGGGCAGAGGGAGGGGTGGGAACCCTGTGGAAGGGAGCTTTGGAGGGGAAAAGGAGAAACAATTGTAATAATCTGAGCAATAAAGATTTATTAAATTTAAAAAATTGTAAAATCAACTGTTACAAACCTGTCACCACTTGTGTATGCAAGTTTAGCTGAACTTCCTCCAAATCAACCAAAATACATAAGTAAATAGGATGCTAAAGTTGATTCAAACCCAAATTTTAATTTAAAAATATATATATATTTTATTGATTTTTTACAGAGAGGAAGAGAGAGAGTTAGAAACATCGATGAGAGAGAAACATCGACCAGCTGCCTCTTGCACACCCCCTACCGGGGATGTGCCCACAACCAATGTACATGCCCTTGACCGGAATCGAACCTGGGACCTTTCAGTCCCCAGACCAATGCTCTACCACTGAGCCAAACCGGTTTCGGCTTAATTTTTTTTTTTTTAATCCTCACCCAAGGACATCTGCCCTGACCAGGAATTGAACCTGCAATCTTTTCAGTGTATGGGACTATGCTCCAATTAACTGAGCCACCCGGCCAGGGCTACAAATTTTGTATTAATCAAAACAACTTAGTTTTTTTAAGTCCTCATAGATGCTACATATAACATGAATGAATCTTGAGAACTTTTTTAAAAACATATTTATTGATTTCAGAGAGGGAGAGGGAGATAGAAACATCAATGATAAGAGAGAATCATTGATTGGCTGACTCTTACATGCCCCTTATTGGTGATCGAGCCCACAGCCAGGGCATGTGCCCTTCACAGGAATCGAACTTGGGACTCCAGTCTGCAGGCTGAGGCTTTATCCACTGAGCCAAACTGGCTAGGGAAATTCATTGTTCTTTTTAACAAGGAAATGTTATCACCTGACTTTACATAAGAAGTTAAAGTACCCAATTTTCTATCTGCTTTACAGAGTGAATTCATCAAAACTTTTAATCGGGGAGAAAAAGCTGTATTTCAAAACATGAAAAAACCAGTCCTGCCCTGGGTGGTGTGGTTGTTAGCGTGTCCTGTGCACCGAAGGGTTGTAGATTCCCAGGCAGGGGACATACCTAGGTTGTGGGTTCAATCCCTGGTCAGGTGCAAACAGGAGACAACTCATCAATATTTCTCTCTCATGTCAATGTTTCTTTCTTTTGTCCTTCCTTCCTAAAATCAATAAAGTAAAAAAAAAATTAAAAACCTCACAGCCCTTGCCAAAACCAGTTTGGCTCAGTGGATAGAGCGTCGGTCTGGGGACTGAAGGGTCCCAGGTTCAATTCCGGTCAAGGGCATGTACCTTAGTTGCAGGCACATCCCCGGTGCAGGGTGTGCAGGAGGCAGCTGGTCGGTGTTTCTCTCTCATCAATGTTTCTAGCTCTCTCTCCCTCTCCCTTCCTCTCTAAAAAATCAATAAAATATATTAAAAACAAAAACAAAAAAAACAACCACCTCACAGCCCTAAGAAAGTTTTAAATGAACTGGCCTTCATAACTAGGAAAGGGATTCAGGAGATAAACCACCCAGCAGAAGACTCTGTGTAAAAATGTTTATTTGTACTAATGTTTAGAATACGAGAACTGAAGAAAGAAAAGACACAACTCCAAAGCAACAGTGAATTAGGGCCTGCCCATGGCCAGGGAAGGCCACACCAGGTGTCCTAGCATGGAGGATCCCTCCCACTACGTAAGTGTTACCAGGCAGAAAAGTGAGTTATCAGGGTGTGAAGACCTTACCAGCTGCTAGTGAGTGTGCAGGGAAGAATGGGAATCTGTGTGGCTTCCCTGTGACCCGGGACCCAGGACCCACAGAACAGGAGGCAGAGACTCTCAATTCAGTAAGGGCAGGAGCTGAATACCAGGTCCAGGAAGAACAAAAAGGGGATTACGGAGGTAGGCTTTTTTATCGAGTTAAAAAACAGGCACATTGTCCAACATCTCCCTGTGACCCCCAAGCAGCTGGCCTGGACCCCTGATGCTTCCTCTCCCCACAAAACCTAAGGGAATAAGGAAGGGAAGGGAAGATAGGAAATTCCAATGGTGGGGAATGCTGCAGTCATCTGCGAGAGAAAGCCAGGTGAGCACAAGAGTCAGGGTGGAGCTGCTCCTCCCCCTGGATGGGACAGGCCAGAGCCCAGAGGGTGACCAAGAACCTACTGGCTTGGGCAAAGGATCCTCAGTAGCAGGAACAGAAGGCTCCAGAGCCACTCTGGGGGAAGAGCGTGGGGAGGCTAAGCAGCAGGAAGGGCGTGGAAAGCTCCTTGCAAGTTCCTCCTCAATTTACTCAGTTGCTCACCACCAGCTACTCCTGGTAGAGGCCCCAGCTTGACTCAGCCCTGGAGGAAGGGAAAACCCTGGGGACCAGTGTTGAGGCAAAGCTGAGAGAGGTGAGCTCCCCCCCTTTCTCAGTGGACACTGTGTGAACCCTGTGATCATCGGGCCAGGGCCCAAGGCAGGCAAAGTGAATGCACTTCCTGGAGAGCCATGAGAAGCCGGGCCCGCAGGGACACCGTGGGGCACATGTCGCTGTTCTCCCTGAGGGCCTGGGGCCAGAGGCAGCCAGAGCTGCCACTTTAGCTTGCTGCTGCCAAAGGCAGGTTGGCACAACCACCCCCAGGTTCTCTGGACTTTCGAAAGAGAGAAGGAAGGGGAAATGGGTTATGAAAAACAAGAGAGGAGGAACAGCCCTAGATGTCGGGGGGAACGGGGGATTGGCCACATCAAGAGGAGTTCTGGTTCTGATAGATGGAAGCTTTCTCCTTCAGCAGGTCCAGACACAAGTGGCAGCTCCAACTTCCTACAGAGAAGCACAATGAATAGGGTTAGGATGGCTCCCACACAATCTTAACCTGCTGTCCTTCCCCTCCCCACATCGTCTCTGTGTCAGGATGGGCTACAGGCAGGATGGGAGACGTTCTGCATAGCGAAAGGTCATAGCTATCCTGAGCGGGGAGACACTGCTAGGTCCTCAAACACCATGAAGAATAATTCTCAACGGAGATGAATCACCTGGAGGCCGGCTGGTGTGGCTCAGTAGTTGAGCATTAACCTGTGAACCAGGAGGTCACGGTTGAGTCTCAGTCAAGGCACATGCCCGGGATCTCCAGTAGGAGGCGTGCAGGAAACAGCTAATCAATGACTCTCTCATCACTGATGTTTCTCTCCCCCTTCCTCTCTCTGGAGCACACCACGCGTTTCTTCCCTCTTGAGTGTGCGCCTTTCTCTCCTTAACTACAAAGGTCCACACGAGACTTGCTCATGGATTTCTATAAAGGAGGGGTTTACACAGAAATCTGGTCGGAAGGGGCCTTGTGGAGAGGCAGCCACTTTTAACCCGGGGCCAACAGGCGGCAGCAGCTCATCTGGCTAACCGTCACTCTTCTCCAAGGCCCCCTTGTCTCTGACTTTTCAGTGAGTCACGTGAGCACCAGGGCTCGCTCTATTGCCTCTTCCATTCTACGCACTTCCTTTGTTTCACTGTCTCCAGTTTGAATAAACACTCTCAAAAGAAAAAACAACGAAAATCTGTCTTACCTTGGGAGCTAATTAAACTAGGTGCAGCTAGATTGGGCTGCGGAGCAGCCTGCCAACCCCTGACCTAGAGCCATCTGATGACTTCTAGGCCCTCTACCCCTAGCTGCCTGCAGCTCTCCACTCTGACAGTACTTCCAAAGGAAAGCCTTCTACAGTTAATGTAGAATTTACCAGTACATTTATGGTTTATGGTTAAAAAGGTAAAACACAGAACTCATTACTTCTCCCAAAGTAGATTTCTAAACTGAGCATGACAGCGGACAAGAGCAGCTGCTAAAAGACTCGGCCTTTGCTAGCGGCCTGCCTCTCCTGGGGGAGGGGAGGATCGCTATTGACCTTACAGGTTAGCTCACATCACACTCTCCTGCCTGGAAAGCTGGCCCACATCCTCTGTGCATAGTAACCGCTTCTGGCATTCACATCCTCCTGAGTAAGCTCACGGATTTCTATAAAGGAGGGCTTAGCACAGAAATTTGGCCGGAAGAGGCCTTGTGGAGAGGCAGCCACTTGGTGCCATCACCGGTCTCTTCAAAGAGCTCCCATAAGCGTGGAGCATTATTAAACAAACTACTGAAGGCCAGAGTGACCCATTCAGGCTCCAGGTTCAAGTCCCTTACAGACTGGGTGGAAATGAACACTAATTTGTCAGGTTCAAAGAGCTGATACCAAAACATCACTTCAGACAAGCTATGGAGTGAGTTTCCTGGACGAACGGGAGGAAAACAAATCACTCCTTCTGGCAACTGTTCTCTGCTCGGTATCTGCTCTCTCTCGGACTGTTGATCTTGTGTTTGCAAATTTATCTGGTGATAACGTGCAAACATGACACACTTGAAGTTGAAATTCTAGGAAAGCATTCTACACTGAGTGAAGGCAAAGTGCCTACTCCCCAATTTGGAAGGATATATTACTGTAAGAGAACTCATGTATTATACAGATGATGGTCCAAGTTACTGATAATTGTTCTGAGTAAAAGATCCAGGCAACCTACCTTCAGGAGGCTCAGACATGGGCGGAGTAAGACAGTACATGTGGTAGCCACGATCACAGTCATCACAGAAGAGCAGCTGGTCCTGGAGAGGGCACGATGGAAGAGCAGGGAGGAGGGGAATGACAATGGGCCTCAGGAAGGCCACTGGGGACCGGTAGGAAGGAGCCATGCAGACACTGCTGCTACTTCCAAGAAAGGTGAGATAGGTGCGGGTAAGGACAGACATGGGCATCTCTGCATAGAAACCACTGGTGTCCATCTCTACCCTACCAGCTGCCTAACTGATTTCATGGTCCTGTGTCCCCTACAATCTATTTTCCAGAGAGCAGCA